GCTTCAGGGTTCTAGGGCTTGTGGGGTTTTAGGGCTTTCGGGTTTTGGGTTTTTGGGGCTTTAGGGTTTAGGGTTTAGGGGTTTAGGGCTTTAGGGCTTTGGGTTTTTTTTAGGGGGCTTTAGGGTTTTAGGGCTTTAGGGTTTAGGGCTTTCGGGTTTTGGGTTTGGGGGTTTTAGGGGTTTTAGGGCTTTAGGGTTTAGGGCTTTGGAGTTTAAGGGTTTAAGGGTTTTAGGGTTTAGGGCTTTAGGGTTTTGGGGTTTTGGTTTCAGGGTTTAGGGTTTTAGGCGTTTTGGGAAATCTAGGCTTTAGGGCCTTGGGAATTCTAGGATTCAGATGGGCTTAAGGATAGGGTTCTGGGTTTACTGGGTTTGGGTTTAAGTGGGCTTCGGAGCTTGGTCGAGGGTTTCGGGGTCATGGCGTCAGGGTTCAGGGTGTCGGGCTTCAGGCTTTTGGTCACTCACACGAAGCAGGCAAGGCAAACCCAAAAGGTCCGAGGTCTTCATTGCTATGAAGCCAGCGTTTAGGGTTTACGGACTTAAGGTTTTGGGAATTCAGGGTTCGGCTTTTTCATTTTCCGCTCCCACATGGATGGGGGCTTTTCAGGTTTAGGGCAATGTAGGGTTCTTTCCTAATCCCTAAGCCCTACTGTTGCATCTGAACTAAGGAGCTGTTAGTATAAGGGGGAACATCCCAAGGTAGTGGTTATGACGTTATGACCAAGTAGATCTATCCTTGCCCTACGTACCACCCCACTTAGAACTACCCATGAAGCTCCAAGTAGAGTCGAGAGGGTTTCGGGTTCAGGGCTTAGGGTTGAAGGTCCTTGTGCGTTTGCTTCTGTGTACAGCGAGTTGTCTCGTGGGGTGCCGACTGGTGCCGCGGGATCACGATTAGGGCGTGTTCATAAAAACGGGATTCGATGGGCCTGTGTGCGTCCAAGATTCCAGGCATTGATGAAGCTCATATCGTCCTGCTTATCTCGCAGTCGTGACGCTCAGACAGAGTGTGTAAGCCGCGTGGCAGCAACAAACATGATATCATGCATTGGACAAGCGTCGGGGGTAGGCCGCATGCACAGGTTGGGCAAGATCTATTTTTCAAAGCTCTTTGTCTGCATCTGGACCCCACACGTTGTGTTTGCGAGACAGCCTGCCCCCCCCCCCCCCCCCCCCCCCCCCCCCCCCCCCCCCCCCCCCCCCCCCCCCCCCACACCCCTCCCTGGGCGTCCTGAACAAAGAAATCCTTGCTGAGGTCTTGGACCCACTTCTTGACAGTGCACTTGGGTACGCCATCCCCTGGGCATGGACACTTTGGGAGGCTTTGGGACTTCGGGGTTTTATGCGCGACGGCCAGTGCTTAGGGATTATAAGACTTAGGGGTTCTAGGGTTTAGGGAGTCAGTTTACGGCTTGGTCGCCTTTGACTAGGAAACAGAAACTATCCGACACCAGGTAGCTGAGGGCTTCGATGACGCAGCTGCGGACGGTGTAGTCCTTGACCAGTGTGCCTTGGCCTTCGCCGCTGCCTTCTGGGCGTGGCATCTCACCTCCCGGGTTTCAACAGCTTCGCTGCAGGTCGCTTCGCTACCCTGAACCCTGACCCTAAACCCTAAACCCTAAACCCCCTGAACCCCCTGAACCCGGCCACCCGAACGCGAGTATTCCATGAGCAGATGCTCCCCCAAGATGGATGCCCAACGACCAGGAAGCCAAGGTCACTTGTGCCTCCCAAGCCTCCATGCACTTCAAAAGGGGCATAAGATTTCATACTTTATGTATATATATATATATACATATACGTATAGACCCTACGTGTATATATATATATATATATATATATATATATATATGTATGTATATATATATACATACATACATACATATATATATATATATATTATATTTATTGTGTACAACTACGGAGGGGTATTGGAGGAGGCTACTGGCGGTGCATAAGAGCTCCTAGGAGGATCGAGTATTTGGCAGCTTCTTTAGGCGAAGAAGCGAAGGCGACTCCGATAGCAGCAGGCCTTGGCTTGCCGACGGCTGCGAGGAAGCGCTGCTCGTCATCGTCGCGGCCGGTGGGGGCGCAGGGCTACACGGAAAAAGGGATGAGAACCCCTTAGAAACGCTGACCCTATGGGCAAACCGATACTTAAAGGGATAACCCTATAGAAACCCTACCGAAGCCGATCAACAAACCGATGAACCCTCTAAGCCGTAAAAAAAAAAAAAACATAAGGACAAAGGAGGCAGGGTTTAGGCGATGGAGTGACCGGCGATCTCAACTTAAAGTTGCTATGGGTAAGGCTCAACGGCCTGGCAATCCGGAAGCACAGGTGTTGGAGCTTTTGCCACAAGTCTAGCTGAGTTGAGCACATTTCGCGAGATAACCTGCCTAAGTCAGCATGCCGCTGCTGCTACCAGTCACGAGCCACACGAGCGCATGTTGGCATGGTGGGAATGATTGCTCTGGGGCGCTGTGTTGCTCCTGCACTATCCTGGCCTATGTTTACGACTCGAAGACTGACCCTACACCACCACCCATGTCCCCCTAAACCCTAAACCCTAAACCCTAAACCCTAAACCCTAAACCCTAAACCCTAAACCCTAAACCCTAAACCCTAAACCCTAAACCCTAAACCCTAAATCATCTGTGCTTCACCTTGCCGGCCGTTCATCTGCTGTCGGGTGGCATCAGGCCTGGAACCACCCACCATCAAACTTAAGAAGAGCTCGCAGCTAAGGGGCGACGGGGCGGAATAGGGATTGGGATTCGAAGCTAATACTCGGGCGAAGAGAGGGAGGGGCAGGCATACACACAATGCAGAATTATTCGCGAAACCCTAAACCCTACCCACAAAACAAGCAAGCCACCAATCACTGCAAAATCATTCGCGAACCCTACAACCCTAAACGCAAAACCCTAGAGGAAGAGACAAACAGGGTCTTCCTTCAATTGTAGATACGCTGAAAAGCTGATCCTGCGATGTGCCTGAAGCCTCAAGGGTTGGGTATTCAGGGTGCTGGTGCATAGAAGCGCTCCAGCAGGAAGGTGCAGCACGAAAAGCACGCTGCTTTTCTACGTGCTGCAGTAGAGCAACTCACTCAAACAAGCTGACTGCCGGAAGACGTACTGCCGTTCTCGCACTTCAAACCCAAAAACCCTAAAGCCTAAACCCTAAACATGTTTAGGGTTTAGGGTTTAGGGTTAGGGTTTTTGGGTTTAGGGTTTGGGGTTTGGAAAGGTCCATGCGCGGAAGCACGGAGTTCTCCTCCCGAAAAGCTTTCATCGGTTAACCTTCGACACACGCCATGGCTACTAAACCCTAAACCTAACCCTTAAACCCTAAACCCTAAACCCTAAACCCTGGAAAGCAGGCTGGTTTCCGTCAGTCAGGCTCCTTACGTGTAAGCATCAGCCAAATCTATCGCACACCCCCTCTTGATGCAGCAACATGCACTAATGAAGCTCAGGCACTGGCATCCCTGCTTCGACAAGTGCTTTGGGGTTTAGGTTTTAGGGTTTAGGGTTTAGGGGGAGCATGCGGTTGTCTAGTCTGCAGATCTGGTGTAGGCAGCCGGAGCAAGACAAGTCGCAAGCTCGTGCTCTCTGCCGCCTTCACTGCGCGACTCCTGATGCCCTGTTTGGGCAGAGACATGCGTTAACCACAAGCCTAGGAAGCCACCTCTCCATCCTCTCCGCCACCTTAAGCAGCTGAAGTGCTGGTGCACCTCCACAGGGCTAGTCCCAAGCCACGAAAGGCAAGCGCGACGAGAGATACCGGCGGGAAGTGGCCGTTAATTTAGGGGGGTTTTTCCCCCTGCCACAAGAAGCAGCCCCAGCTGACCCAGAAGAACATGAAGCGCTGACTGGTTATGCTGTTGTTTATGTAGTGCCACTGTGTAGAAAATCCGGAGCCCAAGGCCAAAGAGAACTGGCTCATCCCAAGCACTTCCATCCACAGGACTATGGTGTAGAAGCATTCGAGGTGGGGCCCACAGTTAGCATGGGAACTTACAGACGCTACATGCAGCAACATGGCACGTAGAAGTTAATCCGACACCCTCAACCGTCAATGAACATCCGGGCGCGGGCGGCCAGCTTCAAAGGGAAGCTTCATGGCTTGGCAATGTGCAGTCGACGAAACAAGACTTTCCGAGAGGAACCGCCGCGTCGATCGTACGAGGCCGTTGAGGGCAAGGTGTGGTAGACTGGTACACTTGGGCTTCTACCTTAAATACTTGTCCCTAAACCCTAAACCCTAAACCCTAAACCCTAAACCCTTCTGGATACTGTGCCATGTTCTTTCCGCAAACTGGTGAAGTCGGTGTCGTAGATCCCTCTGCTCCCTGCCCACCCCCGCTCCCCACCCAACACTAAAGCAGCCAAACCAACCCCGAACGGCGAAACCCGAACACCCTAAACCCCAAACCCTACCTGGGACTCCATTTACCTACAGTTTAGTGGTAGCTACCCTTAGTTAGCAGGATAGCCCATAAAACTGTAGGTGAAGAGAGTCCCAGGTAAACCAAAATGGAAGACCCATCTGAGAAGGTTGGGTGACGCCCCGGGGAGGCCTACTGTGAGGAGATCTAGATGATCTAGTTCTCTTTGCCAAGGCTGACTTTTGAGTTTAGGATGTTGGGTGTTGGCGTAGGGTCGCTCAAGGTGTAGAAGGGTTCAGAGCTCTCTAGGCCGCAATTGGAGCTTCTTTTTCATGCATGTTTAAGCACTCGCTGAATTGAACGTGTAGACTTTTCGGGACATGACTGAGTACAGTCGGAGACATTCACTGTGGCCCAGAGCAGATCAAACTTTGCGTTTCACGGGGTTGCCCCGACCCGCTTCAAAGGCCAGAGAATGCGCTCCATTCCGCAGCAGAGGCCTCTCGGCACACTCTCATACCAAAAGTAGGTCAAACTTGGCGTTTCACAGGGTTTCCCCAACCTACGTCTCAGATCAGAGAGAGAGTTTCGCCCTGATTGCACTCTTCCCTGGAGCAGGCCTGACTCCAAGTGTCACAGGGTTGCCCCGACCCGCTTCACAGAGAAAGAGGCTCTAATCTATATGCCTGAGTGCTGTACAACACAGAGACATCATCGCAGCAGCAATGAACGTCTCTTCATGAAACGTTGCTAAAAAATCATGGATATGTGCGGCAAGAGCGGGCACCCCTTGCAACAACATTCGACTTAGTTCCTTTTTCATCCTGACCTTTATAGGAAAGTAACCACGCGTGTCGGGTGCTGTGCTCTTTCAGCCGCCAATGTGGCTCACTGCCCTGGTCAGCGAAGCCTCGATGCTGCAACCCGGCAGAGCTGTGTGTCTAGTCATTCCGAGCTTAATCGCTCACACTCAGGCCAGACGACCTAAACCCTAAAACCCTAAACCCTAAACCCTGAACCCTAAACCCTAAACCCTGAACCCTAAACCCTGAACCCTAAACCCTAAGCACTGTATAGTCTGTCAGAGTTTCCGGCTCAAGGTTTAGGTTTGCTGTTTCGAATTGAACCGAAGCCTCCAGCTGCCAGCATCATGGACACCCAACCATTGCAAGTGAACCCGCGTTTAGGGTTTAGGGTTTAGGGTTTTAGGGTAAATTCCCTCTCCTTCGGATTTACGGCTTATGGGTTTGGGGTTTGGGGTTCTGGTGTTTTAGGGTTGTAGGGCTTAGGGTTCCACATATTCCCTCTCCTTCGGGTTTCTGGCTTATAGGTTTGGGGTTTAGGGTTGTGGGGTTTTAGGGTTGCAGGGCTTGGGGTTCCACACATTCCCTCTCCTTCGGATTTACGGCTTATAGGTTTGGGGTTTCGGGTTGTGGGGTTTAGGGTTGTAGGGCTTAGGGTTCCATATCCTGCACCTAACAATTAATCTACCAAATCAGGTTGAAGATGGAGACACAACCGAGTCCAAGTAGCTTCAGTATTCCACCGCCATGACGTCCAGAGGAATGTCACAGTATGGGCACATCCCATCATGAGAGTTGTACTGGACATGGGAGCATCCTGAACAGCGACCTGCCGTTCGAGTCGATGTCGTATCAGCGCGCGCCTTCTGCCCCTGGCAGGCACGCAATTCCACGATTCGCTTAAGAAGCCCCCCCCCCCCCCAAACAAATAAAAACAAAACAACTTCCTGCAAAAGGGAAACCTAGGGAATAGTACCTTTTGTTTGCAGATTTGTGAAGCAGCCAAGTCCGTCAGAGTCCCAAAACAGCCAGGCCCCAAATCCCACAAACCCTATAGGTAAACACTACCCTGCACTCCCTCCGCATATCAACCCAAGCCTGAACCCTAAACCCTAAACCCCAAACCCCAAACCCTAAACCCTAAACCCCAAACCCCAAACCCTAAACCCTCCCAACCTGCAGGAGCTCCTTGATGTGGTCCTTTGCTTTGATGTGTGGACCCAAGGGGCCCATTTCTTCCCTGGTCGGAGGATTGCAGGGAGGATGCTTCCAAACATGCGGCAATGGGTTTAGGGTTTAGGGTTTAGGGTTTAGGGTTTAGGGTTCGGGTTTAGGGTTCAGGGTTGTTTAGGGATGCTTCTAATATGGGGGCTTAAATAATTAGAATAGAGTGTTTGGGGTTATTTTCGTATATTTACAAAGGGACCATAAGGGAATACTATTAGTATTTCTTCCGACCCTTTACTAAGCATGCGGCAATGGTCACGAGGGTTGAGGGTTTAGGGCTCTATGCGGACATGTCAGAACATCAGCAGCTGCGTGCATGAACTGAAGCAACACAAAGCTGGTAGCTCGTGTCTGGTAAAGCCGGGATGTACTGTTTGGTCTCGCACAGTTGGGATAAGTGCGAACAGATGAGTGTCGTACCCGGCACTGTCGTGCCCCAATCACATCTGCATCGATGTACTTACCGACATTTGAGGGTCTATGTAAATAGAATGGGTGCTTTCCGAGGTGTCGCATGGGCGTACTCAACAACTGCGATCATCCCTGCCGTGAAAACCCCCAAAATGGGGATCCCTGATGTTAGGGAAACCTTCATTATTGGCAATTCTTAGGCCCCCTGACGAAAACGAAAGGGTTTTGGGGTAGTTACATGGTCCTGTAAATGGGGACCCCTTTATATACCCCATAAAACCAGGGGCCCATACTTCAGAACCAAGAACCCCTATTCTTAGAGGCAGCCTGCAAAAAAAGTAGGAGTTGGGTTCTCAAACTAAACCCTAAACCTAGAGTATCTGGACGTCAACCTCAACGTTTGGGCTGGCTTGGTTTGCTGGTGACGGTTTATGGCTGAAAGTCACATTTAGGGTTTCGGGTTTACAGTTTAGGGTTTAAAACCCCCAAAACCCAAAACCCTAAACCCTAACCCTTAACCAAGCCCAAGCCCAAAGCCCTGCCGAGCGCAGCAGGGCGTCTCGATGAAATCCTCAATGTCCCTCTGGCACTCTCGAAGGAGCTCCTTCCAGTCCTTTCTTCTAGGGTTTAGGGTTTAGGGTTTAGGGTTTAGGGTTTAGGGTTTAGGGTTTAGGGTTTAGGGTTTAGGGTTTAGGGTTTAGGGTTTAGGGTTTAGGGTTCATGGGGCTATACCTTGGGCCCTTCAGGTCCCCTTTTGCGGATCCCTAAGGGTGCATAAGGGCCATATTAGGAGTTGATTCAGGGGAACCTTTAGGGGTACAACCCTAGGGGTACGAGTCTTCATACCTTGATTTCTAAGGGTAGCTGCTCCTTCTGCCAGTCTGACAGTGTTTTGGGTGTAGCGGTTTAGGGTTTGGGGGGGGGTTTAGGGTTTAGGCTTTAGGGGGTTTAGGGTTGATTGGGACCAGGGGGTTTTAGGGTTGCCGAAGGGTCGTTTCATGGTCCGTTGCTATGGGCCCTTAAATGGGAACCCTTTTTTTAACCCCTTTTCGAACCCTTTTTTGAACCCGAGGGCCCATACTTCAGAACCCTGTCAAGAAGGTACCGGACCACATATGGGGGTTCACGATGTTCGGGGTACCCTAAATAGGGTCTTGATTGCAAGGGGATCCTACTAGTCGGGGGCCTTTCTTTTAAGGGTCCCTCATTGTCGTAAACCCCATGTTTAGGGAACGTGTAACAACCCTTAGATTTCTTCTCCAGCAGAAAGGGCGCCGACGTGGCTGTGGGGGGGGGGGGGGGTCCTGCTAAGGGTACGGTCAAAGGTTGAAGGTCTATAGAGTTTGCGGCTTGCCGGTTAGGGTTGAGGGTTTAGGGTTTAGGCTTTAGGGTTTAGAGCTGTATACAGAAGAAGACAACACCCCAAAATTCTGCTCATGACGGAGCAAGAATCTTCTCGCAAGCCGGTTGCGCTGAAAAAGGATGCCAGGCAGTACACGAACTCTTCCAGGAACGGCCCGAACTGCTTGCATTTGTGCCTCGGTGGTGGGCGAAGGCTTCATGGTACTGAGTCACCCAATTATAGCTGTACTTGTAACCCAAGTGAAAATTCATTAGGGTACTTAAGGTGCTTATACGTGGGGCAGAACTACACTTATGATTGGGTTGTAAGTACCCTGAACTTCCAAGTAAACTTTTCGGGGCCTTAACAGCAAGATGAAGCCTGGGGGGCTCCTTATCGTATATAAAGATATAGGCGCCATGAGGGAATACTATTCGTAGTCCTTCCGGATAGCTGTACTTATAACCCAATTATGATCCTATTAGGGTACTTGAGGGCTGAGAAGTGGGTTCGAACTACGCTTATGATTGGGTTACCTGATTTAGGGGCCTTCATAGCTAGAATAGGGTTTTGGGTCTCATTATTGTATAAATATTTAGAGACCATAGGGGAAGACTTTTAGTAAGCGTTCCGACCCCTTTCTTATACTTTGAACCCCAAACTACCCTAAACCCTAAACCCTAAACCCTAAACCCTAAACCCTAAACTCTAAACCCTAAACCCTAAACCCTAAACCCTAAACCCTAAACCCTAAACTACGGTTGTACCCCTCAACGTTCCCCTTAATACGCTCCGAACATGGCCTCTAGGGATCCTGAAAAGGGACCCCAAAACCCAAGAACCCAAGAACCCAAGAACCCAAGAACCCAAGAACCCCTAAACCCTAAACCCTAAACCCTAAACCCTAAACCCTATACCCTATACCCTAAACTACAACAATAAGGGTCGCAAGGTAGAACCCCTAGAAACTTTGAACCCCCAAAACTGCCCAACAAGCCGGACGGCTTGTAGTGCTTCCCCATCAAGTTGTGCCACACCTGGGCTGTTTAGGGTTTAGGGTTTAGGGTCTAGGCCTTCACCTCTACCAGTCGCCAACCAAAGGGCACCCCGTTTTGCATCAGGCTTGCGTAGTCTCGCCCGGAAAGCCCCTAAAACCCTAAACCCTATACCCTAAACCCTAAACCCCAAACCCTAAGGCCCTAAACCCTTCATTTCGGTGGCCCTGGGGTCCTGACAATGAGCCAAGGGTATTCCGGATTCAAGGGTTTAGGGTTTAAGGCTCTCTGGGTATCAGCAAAGGCTGGCACCCCGCATCTGGAAAGTATCTGCAGCGCCCTGAAGTGTGGAGTTTAGGGTTTAGGGTTTAGGGTTTGGGGGGTTTGGGGGGTTTGGGGGGTTTGGGGGGTTTGGGGGGTTTGGGGGGTTTGGGGGGTTTGGGGGGTTTGGGGGGTTTGGGGGGTTTGGGGGGTTTGGGGGGTTTGGGAATGTCCGAAACAATTCCTGAGGTAAGCAATGAGCGATGCACTCGACGTCTATACCCTCCTTGGACCATCCAAACCTGTGGGGTTAAGGGTTTAGGGTTTAGGGCTCAGGATTATGTAGGGTTTAGGGCATAGGGTTTTATTTAGGGTCAAGAGTTTAGGGGTATTTAGGGTTTAGGGTTCTTGGGTAAAAGGGCATAGGCTTTAGGGTTTAGGGTTAGGGGTATTTAGGGTTTAGGGTTCTTGGGTAAAAGGGTATAGGCTCTAGGGTTGGTCTCTCCTCTGGTAGGGAGTGGCACCCTGGTAAGCTCCATGTCCACGTTCCGGAGGAAACCTGAGACTCAACTTGGTCGACTCTCGTTTAGGGTTTAGGGTTTAGGGTTTCGGGTTTCGGGTTTAGGGTTTAGGTCGACGGCCGTTTAGGGTTTAGGGGTTCATGGTCTAGGGATGCCAGACAGAACTTGGTGGACCAAGAAACTATTCGGCTCCTTGAAGGCGATGCGTCAAGCAACCCCAGTATTTTGGGTTTAGGGTTTTGGGCCCCTACTTGGAGGTTCATGGTACTTACTAACCACTTATAACTGTACTTATAACCCTACTTATAATCCCCCTAAAAGGCCTTATAGGGGTTATCCCAATTATAAGTAGGGTTATAAGCCCAGTTCTCAGTGGTTATTAAGTCCCATGGACCTCCAAGTAAACCCTGAACCCTGCCAACCCTAACCCTTTAAACCCTGGAGGCCCGCCCCTCTTGCCGCCGTAGGGTTTCGGGCGTTGTAATGTTAGCTAGGCTGGCCGGTTTTTTTCAAGCGTCGAAACATTTCTACAGGTAGGGGAAATACAAACCATTGCAAGGTCGGCTGAGTTTATCTATACATGGGGGTTTACGAAAATAGGGGACCCCTAGAATAGACCCCAAATAATAGAATTCCCTTTTGAAGCGGACCCCAGCAAGGTACCCCAAAATCGGAAACCATATCTATATCTTTTTGATCTAGGACAACTAGGGTTTAGGCTTTGTAGTTTGATATTGGGGGTTTAAACGGGGGCAAGTTAAGGTTTGTTCATGCGTCCGCCCCTTTCTTTCCCCGCCGCGGCGAAGCGACATCCAACATATAACCAACAAGTTAGGGTTCAGGGTTTAGGGTTTAGGGTTTAGGGTTTAGAGTTTAGAGTTTAGGGGTTAGGGTTTAGGGTTTAGGGTTTAGGTTTCAGCGTCTAGGGTTTAGGGTTTAGGGTTTAGGGTATCCCAGGCCTCAGGTTAAAACTTGAGGCTTGCGTGTACGCTGTAGGGCCTTTAGGGAAAAGGCCCTGGACCCTAACCCTAAAACCTTTAACACGTTAACCCTAAATCCCAAACTCCAAATCCTGAACCGCAACATCAAGCGACGGTGTAGCCATGCTGCAAACACCTTTCCTCCAAGTCGTTTCACACAGCCATATATATATATATATATATCAGGGTTTAGATTTTAGTTTTCACGGAGCTAAACCCTAAACCCTAAACCCTAAACCCTAAACCCTAAACCCTAAACCCCAAAACCCCACGGAGCCTACATCTTCCGTCGAGTCCACATCGCCGCTCTCCGGAATCGCGCGGCCTCGTGGGGTCGCACTCGCACGCAATGCTCCAAGCTGTTTCGGGTTTGTAAGGGTTTAGGGTTTAGGGTTTGGGGTTTAGGGTTTAGGGTCTAGGGTTTATAGGGTTTATAGGGTTTATAGGGTTTATAGGGTTTATAGGGTTTATAGGGTTTATAGGGTTTAGGGTTTAGGGTTTAGGGATTAGGGTTTAGGGTTTATAGGGTTTATAGGGCTTATAGGGCTTATATATAGGGCTTCTAGGGCTTATGGGGCGTATGGGGTTTTTAGGGTTTATAGGGCTTACGGGGTTTACAGGGTTTAGAGGGCTTATAGGGCTTATAGGGCTTGTAGGGTTTATAGGGTTTATAGGGCTTATACGATTTATAGGGTTTAGGGCTTTGGGTTTAGGGCAAGCATGCATTACAAGGGTGGGTGCAAAGTTCTTGTGCAGCACCCCCCAAGCTTAACACACACTTGATGCTACCCGATCATAGGCGATCATCGCCGTAAGCCGGTGTAAGCACCGAAAACTCAGCGCGCACGCACGCCCGTACACACACTCACACAAACACAAACACAGTCGCAGACAGACACACAGACACGCAGACACACAGACACACAGACACACAGACACACAGACACACAGACTCAGACTCAGACACAGACACAGACACAGAGACACAGAGACACAGAGACACAGAGACACAGAGACACAGAGACACAGAGACACAGAGACACACAGACGCACAGACACACAGACACACAGACACACAGACACACAGACACACACACACACACACCAAATGATGTTTGAGAGGGCTAGGCCTACCCTCCCCAAGCTTCCAGCCTTTCAAGAACTCGCCCAAGACTCCAGCCCAAGCGCCTGGGTGTGGGGCTTGTGGATTTTGAGGGTTTGAGGAATAAACCTTGTAGGTTGGCTGAGTTTTCTGGTATAGCTGGGCCCAATGTTTTGGGGTTTGTCGATGCTCCAATTCGAGTTTGGGATCCTTTTTCAAGGTTTAGGGTCTAGGGTTCTGAAGCAACCCACGCCCTTGTGTCCCTGCAGCTGCTATTTGATTGGTGGTGGCATGCCATGTGCGCGGGAGAGTTTGTGCCTAGCATGGCCCCTGACGCGAACATGTCCCTGACGAAGTGTTGTGCACCTTGGGTAAGACTATCAAAATGCCATTGCCCCGAAGCTCGGCACCTCAAGGTGTGGGGTGCTTGGGTGTTCATGTGTGCTGGCCACTGTCTGTTGCTTCTACTTTGAGCTTCATACTTACACGCCATGCCCTCTTCTGAGGGCGGCGCAAAACAACTTAGTTGTTCGGGCGGACTGGAGGCTTCGGAGGTTTGGGGGTTTCGGGCGTAGGGTTTAGTGATTACTCAGAGCTTCAAGGCCCGGGGCACTCCAGCTGGATGGGTGACCCCACTGGTCACATCGATCGTCAAAGAGCCGCACACTCTTCGCGAGGAACTTCCTCGGTTCTGACCCTCAACTGATCTTCCAGGCTCGACAGTATTTTGGCCACTTCAGCTTGGGTGCTTAGAATTAGGTGCCATTGCATGTCTTGCATATGATATGCCTCAAGGGTTCCGAGGTCATCCTCAAAAAGGCGAAGAGCCCATGTGAGGGTTTAGGGTTTAGGGTTTAGGGTTTACGGTTTAGGGTTTAGGGTTTAGGGTTTGCCCGCCTATATAACCCAACCCTGGACGTCGATAGAGTTTTAGGGGGTTTAGGGTGCAGGGTTTAGGGTACCCTAAACCGTCTATTGTCTCGGGATTGCCCTAAGGAGCTCGATGGGTCTATACGTGCCTGTGCACCAGCGGCTTCATTGTATCAAGTCTGCGGTATGCTAGGATGGCCCTGAAATTCTGAAACTATGATCCTCTTAAACCAAGTAAGGGAAACCCTAAACCCTAAACTCAAAAATGTCCCTAGGGCCTACACAGTATGTTACTAGTTCTTCAAAGGATATCAGGGACAAGTGGGTGTAGGACGAAGAACCACCAAGCCATGCAAGCGCTTAAGAAGGGGCCTTGAATCCCTAAACCCTGAAGCAGAAACCCTACAACCCCTAAACCCTAAACCCTAAACCCCAAACCCCCCAATGTCCAGGCTCTCAGCCACATCCTTCTGCTCCATCCAGGAAGCCGCGCCTGTGTTTCGGAGAAACTGAAGGTAGGTCTAGCTTTGGGGGGCAGGGGGGGGGCTTTTGAGAGGGTTTGCGGTGAGGCTTCATCAGGAGATTTAAGGGGTTTTGGGTCTCGGGACTCATGAACCCTAGACTTTCTTCTCCAACAAGCAAGGCAAACAAGGCTAAACTTTATTATTCCTACTACATAAGGAAGCCCAAACAGTTTAAAGTCCAACAATTGGCTAAGTAAGTAAATGCCCTAAACCCTGAACCCTTTTCGAAGCTGGACTTGCTGACAGCGAAACCCTAAAGCCTACAACCTTAGGGTTTCAGGGGGCTTAGGGGGGTTAGAATTTGAGGGGACGCCGAAATAGGGAGGCAAGGCAGGGGTTTTGGGTTTAGGGTTTAGGGTTTAGGGTTTAGGGTTTAGGGTTTAGGGTTTACGGTTTAGGGTGTAGGGTTTAGGGTCTAGGGTTTTTAGTTTAGGGTTTGGGGTGTAGGGTTCAGCGTTGAGAGTGTAGGGCTCAAATGCAAGGCAACAAGGCATCCAAAATGCTAAAGATCACCAACGCGAGGGCCGCGAACGATCGTCATTCCCAACGCTCTAAGCTCAGTATCTGGAGAACTCCCTTTGCCTAAACCTCTGGACTTCTCAACTTCTAACCCAAGCCTGAAGTCATAAACTCCGCAACCCAACATCCTGAGCCCATGAATCCCCAACTGGCCCCCCATGTACACCCCCCGAAGCTACCAGGACCCATGCAGATGTGATGCAGGAGCTCGTTCTCAGGGTTTGGGGCAGGGTAGGTGTCCAGCTTACTCGAAGGATTGCTGGTCCGATACATCCAGCAAACCCAACCCCCCTCTCCCCCCCTCAGCATAACCTTCGTTGGACGTGAAGCCTCAACGACAACCTGACAACACACGCCCCCGCAAAACAACGACGACCCTACTTGCTACGGTGCTACGCGTCAGCCCACAACCGAGGTAGTGTGTACTATACTCCCCAGAGCAACATACTTTGTAGTCCTCCCGTAGTTGTTCTATAAATAAAAGTACGTACACAGTAAATAACAAACACAATGAATCCTAAGGGGGGCCTAGTGTAGGGTCCAAGGCCATTTAGAGAAAATCCAGGTGAGGAGGTTGGCGAGCAAGCTGCAAGCAAGGGGCCGACTTTCTCGTGCCATTCTTGCAGACCTCGGCAGCTCTGGTAGAACGCGTCATCGTCGCCCACAAAGTGCTTGCAGACCTTCAGGCCACATGTCGACGTCCCATGCCGATCCCCATCGAACTCCCAACCCGCAAGCCCTAAACCCTTTTCTGAAGCTAGACTCTTGATGAAACCCGTTTTGCAGAAACCCTAAACTCTAAACTCCCTAAACCCTAAACCCTAGTCTTGAAACCCATGCTTATTATGTCCCCTGAGGTGAGCCGCTGAGGGTCGAAAGCTCCAAGGGTCTCCAGGTTTTAGGGTCTAAGGGGTTTAGGATTTAGGGTTTAGGGTCTAAGGGCTTCTGAGCAAAGCAGCCCAAAACACTAGTACACCCTTTTGCATCTGGGCTCGCAGCAGTAGTCCCTAAACCTAGGCTCCAAACCCTAAACCCTAAACCCTAAACCTTCGCAACCCTCAAGCCCGATGACCCTAAACCCTAAACCCTAAACCCTAAACCCCAGCAATAGCAATAAGAACCTCATGATTGGCAATTTACTGCAAACTCACATCAGTCCATCTGTACCCAAAAATGGTAGTTTTATCCCACCAACCCTGAAAAGACTACTTGCTCAAGAACCACACAACAATCAAAGAACAAAAATCTTTGGCCGCAAAGGGAAGAACATTTTTATCTGTTTTTTCTTTCTTTTTTTTTTTGGGGGGGGGGGGGGGGGGGCGTTCTTGAGCAAATGGTTGTAGTTTCTACCCTAAACCCTATATAAACCCTAAACCCTAATTCCAAAACCCTAAACCCTAAACCCTAAGCCCTAAGCCCTAAGCCCTACGACCTAAGCCCTAAGCCCTAAGCCCTACCGTGTTGGTCGCCAGCCTTGTCGTGAGTGGTCAGCAGGGCTACCACGCGTGGGCCGAAAAGAGTGGAGAGCACCTGCTGGGCTCAACGCCCTGCGTAATAAGGGTTTCAACCCTAAACCCTAAACTCCCTGAACCCTAAACCCTAAACCCTAAACCCTAAAACCCTAAAACCCTAAAACCCTGAAACCCTAAAACCCTAAAACCCTAAACCGTTTGAGGGCTTCTGGTTTTGGAGGGGCCTTGGGGCTCAAGGGCTTGAGTGCTTTGCCGCGCTGGAGCGCATGCAAGGTTCAGCACGCAAGCCCCCGGTGCAGTGGATGGGATTCAGGGCTTGGTTTGGTTTGGGGTTTAGGGTTTAGGGTTTAGGGTTTAGGGTTTATAGTTTAGGGTTTAGGGTTTAGGGTTTAGGGGTTAGGGTTTAGGGTTTAGGGCTTAGGGTTTAGGGTTTAGGGTTTAGGGTTTAGGGTTTAGGGTTTAGGGTTTAGGGTTTAGGGTTTAGGGTTTAGGGTTTAGGGCAAGGAGGACTTCACCACCAGATGAACCCGAAAAGCATTTTTGGTTCACATACGGTTTTAGGGTTCATTTGGTCCCCAGGGTTTTCTGCATGCAGTACACACCTCACAACACAGCAAAGAAACCAACAAGGAAGCCAGGCAACTTCCACATCAGAAAACACCATGCGTGCCTTCTCTCGTTTCGGGATTCCCCACCTCCACAACACTTTGAGCCCTAAACCCTAAACCCTAAACCCTAAACCCTAAACCCTAAACCCTAGACCCTAGACCCTAAACCCTAGCCACTTTTGCAAGCGGAGATCCAACAAAACCCCGTGAACCGGAAACCAGCGTGGGGGGTTTCTTGGAAGATGCCCGCCTTGGAAGCCGTCTTCCAGCGATTCTCCTGGCAAAGACGCACCAGAAACCCTCAACCACTCAAGGAAAGCACATCTGGCCACTTCGGTTTCTTGGTGATACCATTATCAGGCGGCCCCTAACACCCAAAAAGAAGCCACAACTTTGAGAACTGGCCATCTTTCTTTCCAATGACTTGCAACAACGCCAGGGCTGCGGCAAGGCATCGGACGGAGGGACGACACTCTGTATACATGCATGCATGCACTCAAGCACCATACACTCAGACATTACGTGCATGACACCGCGTCGCCTTCGCCTACCTTGCATCGTATCGCATCTCGCATCGCCTTGCTTTGCTTGCGTGCGATGTGCATACATTTATATAGTCCATACATATACTTGTCAACTTGTGTGTGTGTGGAAATGAGTACAGACAGGGAGCTATAGATAGACAACTTGAGACCGGCGCAGAAGCGCGGTCCTGCTTCTTCTTGTTGCTGCTGGAGGCATCTTGCCATGGCCAAATCTGCTCGTCGTCGATGATGCGAAAGAGCTTCTCAGACCTGGGGCAGGAGCGGTTCTGAGTCGTGAATGAGGGAGTGAGGACGATATATCCCCCTAAGTATACTCTCAATAAGGCGCTACATTTCCCTCCCCTACTCAGAACCAGGGGTGGGGCAGTTGCAAAAGGCCTATGGCTTGGGACCTAGGGTCTTCGCGGCGGCAAGAAGCCCCTCCTCGTTACTAAAGAAAAGGTTGAATCGAGTAGTAAGCGGAGGCAGTCTCCCTACACCACACACATCACCTGGTAGCCCAGTAAACATATTACAATAAGGGCACCCCTTTTGGGGTAGGTTACTTTATAAGGGAACCCAGGACCAAAACAAGGGTAAAGGGTACCACAGGGCTACCGCAAATCATCAGCATGACCCTCAGGAGGACAGGTGCTACTCACTCCCCAGAGCATCCATTCTTCCATCCACAAGTGTCAAGCCGAAGAAACATGGCATTCACCACAACAGGAGGTGCGTTCAGTTCTGGTACACTGGTAACAAGAACAGATGTAACAAAAAAACAAAGCTGTCGCTGTAGGGTTTCAGGTTTCAGATGAAGCACCAAAATCGTTCTTCGAACTCCGGCCGGCAAATGCTTCCACACTGCAACCGTAAACAGCAAGCAACACAGCAATCCGGACATGCGAGTTCCAACCAGACCCTAGACAGGAAGCCCTACTCAAAAGTGTTGAAACTTCAACCATGGCAGAAATGGTTCGAAGCAAGCTAGAAGCCAACAGCTCGAAGAAGCCATGTCTGCACTTTGATAAGGGTTGCCCCCTGAACTCTAAACCCTGAACCCTGAACCCGAAACCCCAAACTCCCCAACACGTCAACCTCGCGCCAAAGCGATGGGGCGCACCATTCTGGCAGGGACTCGCTGACCATCTCCTTCAATCCTCTACGATGCTTGGAGGTTCAGGGAGCTAGAAGGTTTAGGGCCTAGAGTTTAGGGTTTAGGGTTTGGGCTAGGATGGCCTTGAAAACTGTCTGACAAAGTACTCCTGAATATGGCAAAATCTCACAAGGACCTGCCTAGCTCACACGCACAAGGCAGGCAGGCATTCAACAGGGTTATTGGGGCTTACGGTAGGACTTACAGCGCAATTATCCCTGTAGGTTTACAGCCCCTTAAGTACCCCAGCATGGCTCCAATGGCGGTTGTAAGGCCCACAGACCCTCAACCCTAAAACTCTACACCCTGAGCTGGTTTCAGGCCCGAAGCCCTAAACCCTAAACCCTACTGTAAACCCTAAACCTTAAACCCTAAACCCTAAACCCTAAACACTACGGCCCTGTTAAAAGTGCAAGCTTCTTCACGTCACGGAGGAGGGGGCCCATACATAGTCGCTATCGACCTTGACCCCAACGCTGCATGTGGGTAGTGGTTTAGGGTTTAGGGAAAAGGGTTTGGTTCTCGAATTAGGGCCTGACTGTAAAAAATGGTGCCGTACGATATATAGGAGCCAAAAGGGGGCCCGAATTGAGACTAAAAACCCTAATCCCTAAACCCTAAACCCTAAACCCTAAACCCTAAACCCTAAACCCTAAGCCCTACTCGCCAGCCTTTCCAGCATTTCTGACGAGGTTCTTTTCGTGTCCTCTGCGCCTGCAAGGACCTTCAGCTCCGCGTTGCACGTGAAGCCGAAGCCTGGTACTGGGAACTTAGAGCACCTGAGGAAACAACACCCTAAACCCTAAACCCTAAACACCAAGCCCCAAACCCCAAACCCTAAATCATAAACCCAAAATCATGAATCCTAAACCCTTGCATCTGGGCTCGCAGCATAGACCCTAGACCCTACTTGGAGGTTCATGGTACTTATTAACCAATTACCACTGCACATATAACCCACTCATAAGCCCCTAAGTGCCCTAATATGATTCGAAGTACTGCTCTTAGTAGCCCAGTAGCCATCTTATAATAAGGGCATCCTTTTGTTGGGTTGATCACTTTATAAGGGAACCCAGAAACCCCAAAAAGGGTAAAGGGTACCACTGGGCTACCAAGAGCTATATTAGGGTTTAGGGTTTAGGGTTTAGGGTTTAGGGTACCACGAACCTCCAAGTAGTGGGAGGCTTAAGCTTCAGGATCCGGAGACTAAGGAGCTCCAAGCGGCTTTCGTCATTGCGGATGAGGAGGAACCTGTGGGGGGGGGGGGGGGGTTTAGGGTTTAGGGTTTAGGGTTTAGGGTTTAGGGTTTAGGGTTTAGGGTTTAGGGTTTAGGGTTTAGGGTTTGGGGTTTAGGGTTTAGGGTTGGGGGTTTAGGGTTTGGGGTTGGGGGTTTAGGGTTTGGGGTTTGGGGTTTTGGGGCGGGGGGGGGTGCAATTTCAGTGCTGGTCCTACTTGGAGGTTCACGGGAAAAGCGGGGTTGTGAGTAGGGGAACTAAAAGCAACTGCAGTGGAGCCGGCTATAACCTTATTTGGGCTCCTTTTAAGCCTACCCACAACTTGGCTGCACTTTGGAGGGTAGTCATAAATTTGATTTTTAGCCGGCTTATTGAGAAAACGAATAAACCCAAAACGGCTACGGAGCTACGGATCTAAAGTTAAAGTAAAGCACCACAAAGACCCTAACCCCTAAACCCTAAACCCTAAACCCTAAACCCTAAACCCTAAACCCTAAACCCTAAACCCTAAACCTACTTATAAGTACCCATGAACCTTCAAGTAGGCCTTCGTCGCTCACACTCGGACAAGATGGACCAGCCAGGCGAGGCACCGGGTTTAGCGATTCGGGTTGAGGGATCTACCTAGGGTTTAGGGTTTAGGGTTTAGGGTTTAGGGTTTAGGGTTTAGGGTTTAGGGCTTAGGGTTTAGGGTTTAGGGTTTAGGGTTTAGGGTTTAGGGTTTCGGGTTTCGGGTTTAGGGTTTCGGATTCGCCTCAAGCACCGGCCACTTTTTGTAGTATCCAGGTGACACCCTCGACGTCCCAAAGGTGATCGCTTCTATCCAGAATACGGCCAGAGCATGGGTGGCCGATATCCCACAAACAAAGGAATTCAGCTTAAAGCACTATAATATATGTATGTATATGTATATGTATGTATATAAATATAATATACATTTAGTAATACACATATGTAGATAGGGTTTAGGCTCTGTTGATGATAAGAAAGTCCTCCCCTATGCGCGCGCACGCGGGCGGAAGATTGGGCTCTCTAGCGCAAGAACTGTGGGAATGACACGAGGGCCGCCGGAAATCCCATGCCCACTTACCTCGAAGACCATATCTTATTCCGAAAATTCTGACTATTAGTTAAAATACTATTTCACTGTTTTACCTGTCAATCCCCCGTTCCATAAAAAACTGTCCTATTGAAGAGGCCGGAAAAATCCAGCCGCGCAAAAAATCCGTCCGCTTTAATGATGGTCAGAAACCTATTTCCTGGTGGAAACCAGACACCCACACAATTCTGCAGAAAAAGTGGCCTTTTCAGAAAAAGTGTCCTCTTGTTGGGTTTGCGTTGGGTTTTGGGTACGCTTTTTTCCCAACATTTTCCCAACATTTTTCCAACAAAGTACGGATTCGGTACGGTTTACGTTTTTTTGGGCTACCCCCCAAAACCCAACAAAACCCAACATTATGTTGGAAAAACGTTGGGTTCAGAGTACGCTTTTTTGTGTTCTGCTCAGGTCACCTATTCTTTGGTGCACAAGACTCTGCACAGGGCTCGGGAAGGTTCCCCTGAACTCCGAAAATCCAGCCGCTTTGATCGTATTCCCCGATCCCAATAGAACACCAACACCTCGCTTTTGCACGCAAAAAACCAGAAAAAAACCATAAGGACAGAAATTTCTGTCCGCCAGGATTAACAGGTATAGTCTATCTTTGTAGTTTTTTAATAAACAGACTCTGTAAACAATGGTCTATTTTGATAAATAGACCATTTTCTGTGTTAGTTTAGTGCAAGTTTTGTGCAAGTTTAGTGTTTAGTGCAAGTTTTGTGCAAGTTTCGTGATGAAACAAACTGCTTTCCTAGTCTACTCTTAGTTTGAACTTTTTCTTATTCTTCTAAACAGACTTTTTTGAGCTTATCCTGAACAAGATCATAGTTGCAAAATAGACTCGAAACCAAGATAAGAAAAAATTGTCGGGAACTAGTCTTGCCTGGCCTTAGAGGTAAAACCCTCTCAAGAAGATTCCAAAGTGGGCCAAGTCCCCAAATGGGCCTGGTACCCCCAATGCCTCCCCCACTCCCCCCCCCCTCTCCCCAAATACGAGCTAAACCCCGCACAAGATTATATATCCCTGAGTTCGGGCAACTCCCTACTCCCTAAACCCTAAACCCTAAACCCTAAACTACTATTTGCTGAAGAACCCCGCAAAAAAAACAAAAAAAAAAACAAAAACAATATTACCTCATAAGGTAGAATATGTTCTACATTTTTTGGGGGGGTTCTTAAGCAAGTCGAAGTAAACTCCAAAGCGAACGAACCCTAAACCCGAAACTCCTAAAAGACCTTGAATCGCTAGACCCGAAACTCCTATAGGCCTAGAAGGCTTGGCTGCGCTCAGAAGGGTAGCTATAAATGAAATTTGCAGCTGCCATATTAAGAAACCCAATAAACCCAAAAAGGCTAAGGATCTAAAGTTACAGCAAAGCACCAGAAAGCCTACTGGCCTAGAAAGCATCCCGTATTTCCTGAGCATACTACATCCGGAACGCCCCAGACACAGGTCAGGCCTGTCACCTTGCAAGCCTGGGCCACAGACTTTTCGTCAGCTGAGGCACTTGAAGACTTCCTTCATGCAGGCCTTGAGCTTCTCTTCGCTGCAGCCTGTCGAAGACATGCCGCGTGTTTCTGGGGGGGGGGGGGGTGTATTTCTTGGGGGGGGGGGGGGTTATGTATGATACATTGCATTATATGACATATTCTGTTGTATGATACAGAACATGTAAATGATATGTTGATGTCGTATATGTTGATATCGTTGCACTATCCAATCGGAAGCACATCTCGGCGGCGAGGGTGGGGGGGGGGGGGGGGCGATAGGGTTGTGGGCCCAGTGCTTTGCTTGCTCGATCCTTGCATGTTCCAGTGGCGTCCTGGACAAAACATGCAAGTCATACGTCACGCTACTTCTTCTAGGCTGCCTGAGAATCCTACTTGTTTAATGATAAAGAAACAACAAAAAATAGATTTGAAATCAAATCCGTTTATACTTGTAACTGCTGCATATGAAGATGTGTTCGTTCTGAACTCTCGGGGGTGTGTGCCTGTCGCCATGGGGGGTGTCGCAGCAGCTTAGCGTGGTCTCATGCTCCAAACCTTAGTAGCCCAGTAACCATCTCATAATAAGGGCACCCCTTTTTTGGGTTGGTGACTTTATAAGGGAACCCAGAACCCCCAAACAGGGTAAAGGGTACCACTGGGCTACCAAGAAACAGTAAATGGAGATTTCGAACAGTCTGGCCATTTCAGGCCCTCCAGCCTCGCGTTTCCTCCACTTGCTCGATGATCTTCGTGAGCGGCCAAGCATACACCTACGTGGCAGCGGCGCAGGTCCCCTAAAAACCCTAAAAATCCTAAAACCCCTAAAACCCTAAAAACCCTAAAAAACCCTAAAAATCCTAAAAACCCCAAAAAAACCCTAAGCCCTAAACCCCTGTGGTTGAGAGTACTCTGGCCCACTCGAGGCCCAAACCCCTCCACCTGACAGCAACCAAGGTGCCGCGACGCGGAACCTCGGCTGCGCTCTGCAGGGTCACCGGAAGACTAGGTGTAGGGTTTAGGGTTTAGGGTTTAGGGTTTAGGGTTTAGGGTTTAGGGTTTAGGGTTTAGGGTTTAGGGTTTAGGGTTTAGGGTTTAGGGTTTAGGGTTTAGGGTTTAGGGTAAGCCTGTTATTTTCGGAAACTGGTGGTCTAAAGAGCTGTGGTAGCAGACGAGGGTGACAAAGAGCAAAGGAAGCTGGGCAACTCACATGTAAATTGTGGGCCCTAGCCTTTTGTACCGTAGATAGCAATGAGGCCCCCAAATTCCATAGGAACCTCCCCCCCAAAAGGGAGCATGCGCTGAACCCCGAAGCTGTTGAGTCGAGGGAAGGTCCTGGCGGAAGTCTTAGCAAGAGAAGCTGAGGAAACTCCGCCCTTGCGTTGTCGTCGCGCGGCATATCCGGGTAGTAGTTGTGATCCAGATCGGGCTTTGCTTCTTGCAGCTCCTGTCTTCGATATCGCGTGATGGCAACTCCCCAAGCTTTGACAGAGAACGGTGTCCGATGCATCCAGACCCCAGGGCTTTGCAAAGAACAAGAAGGGTAGCTTTTCTTACTTAAGGGGCCGTATAAGAGAACCAACCCCAAAAACAAAAGCATGAAACAGAAGCAAAGAACAAGACTAATAGTGACAGGAATAATAACAAGACAAGTCACAATCATAACAATAAGATCACGAATAAGGATAATAATCAAGATAACAATAGTACCAATCATAACAGTAATATAATAAATAATAACCAAATAATAAGGGCGCCCTCGGGGCCAAAAAGATGTCGTGGGCACATTGGAGTTTCAGGTTAACTCCTGGGGTTTGCTGGTCTGCAGGGTGAGGGTTGGAACCGGGATGGACATCTTTGGGGGTTTCCGAAAATTGGGGGTACCCGTTTAGGGGGTTCCTATGAAAAGGACCACTAATTTGGGAAAAATGCACATTTGCCAATCTACATCATAGAGTGTAGTAATATGTACTGCATGTTCATTAACGAGAGAAGCATCAACAATTATGACAAAAACAGCCGCTGGCCCTCTTTTTCGTGTAGCGCCCCAGGCCTTCGTTCAAACGTGCCCTCCCGATGCCCTGGAGCTTCACAGGGTCTATAGGGTTTAGGATTTAGGGTTGACTTTCCACCCAAACCTGAAACCTAAGCCTAACCGACATCCCAGCAAACCCTTTCTTAGCAAGGGGATCGGCATCTAGGTACCTTAGCAGGGGAATCGACTCAAGGCACCTAACTCCCCACTTTTAAGGATTAGTTAGAACACTTCTGGACGGGTTCCTGGTTGGCGGAGAGGAGGGAGTTTGGGTCAGTCTTGCCTGTGACCCTGCAGGGGACCTACCTGGGGGTTCTAGTACCCTACAGCTTAGCGGTAACTACCCCTTAATTCGTAGGTATCGCCCATACACCTGTAAGGGTAAAGAGAGTGCCCGGAAATTCCCTATAGCTCCCTAACTCCCTAAGGAACAGCCCCTGTTGCAACAGGCTGTTCCAAAAACCCTGAACCCTAGACTCGCGTTAGCACAGCTGCCCACCCTAAACCCTAAACCATAAATCCTAAACCCTAAACCTAAACCCTAAATCCTAAAACCCTAAACCCTAAACCCTGGGTGCTACAAGCAGGGCTCTGCCCTAGCGCGTGGTGAAGCTGTGGGCCTGGGAGGGTCTAAACCTAGGTCGGGGTTTACGAAAATAGGGTACCCCCGAAAATAGACCCCAAAGAGTAGGATATTGTAAGGACCCCAAAGAGTAGGATATTATAAGAACCCCAAAATAGGTTTCCCCGACAATAGACTCCAAAGAGTAGGATTCCCTTATAATAACTTGGGTAGCCCAGTAACCATATTATACTAAGACCCCTTTTTTGGGTTGGTTATTTTATAAGGGAAACCATAAAAAAGGGGGTAAAGGGCACCACTGGGCTACCAAGATAAGGACCCCAAAATCTCCAAGAGGGGTCCAGTCGAGGGGGTTTGGGGGGTAGAGCCCTAAACCCTCGGGTGGGACTAGGCTATGCCAGCGCGCGATAGGGAGTGCGCCCCCAAATCTAAAGAAAAGGCACACTCCCAGCGCACGTACACTGCCACACCTTAACCCCTAAACCCCTAAACACACTAAACCCCTAAACCCCTAGACCCCTAGACCCCTAAACCCCTAAACCCCTAAACCCCTAAACCCCTAACCCCCTAACCCCCTAAACCCCTAAACCCCTAAGCCCCTAAACCCCCTAAACCCCTAAACCCCTAACCCCCTAACCCCCTAAACCCCTAAACCCTAAACCTCTAAACCCCTAAACCCCTAAACCCCTAACCAAACAGGGTCAGTCCTGGAGGATCTTCTGCACATGGTAGCCCATGCATCCGCCCACCTCCTGCTTTGATTCATCCAACCTCAGGTCTTCTGTTGTAGGGTTTGTAGGGGTTTGTTGGGGTTTGTAGGATTTTTCTGGTTTGAGGGTTTGTAGGGTTTGTAGGGTTTGTAAGGCCTAGTAGGGTTTCAGGGCTTAGTGCTAGGGATTTAGAGTTAAGGGTTCAGGGCGGGTTGCATAGGGCTCCATAGGGTTTGTAGGGTTTATGGGCTTTGAAGGGGCTGTTCCGGGCTTCTAGGGCCTGTAGTTCTCAATGCTAAACCACCCTAGACCCTAAACCCTAAACCCTTTTGCAACAGGCCTCTTCGCCCGGCTAAACCCTAAACCCTAAACCCTAAACCCTAGACCCTAGACCCTAAAGCCTAAAGCCTGAAGCCTAAAGCCTAAAGCCTAAAGCCTAAAGCCTAAAGCCTAAACCCTAACCCTAAACCCAAACCCTAAACTATGCTATTTTTTCGTTCAAAGGTGCTTGAAGATGCTTTAGGGGATGGTGGAGGGAGTGCCAGGGCTTTGGCTTTGGAGACTTGCGGGATTCACGAGGAGTTTGGAGGGCCTTGATTTTAGGGTTTATAGGGCATACAGTTTAGGGTTCGGGCACCATGGGTTCGTTCACCCTAAACCCTAAACCCTACATTTAGACCCTAAACCCTAAACCCTAAACCCTAAACCCTAAACCCTAAACCCTAAAACCCTGAACCCTAAACTCAAGCTTCAGCGGAGCGCTGAGCCCCTTAGAGGTGCTGGCCTCTGTCCGAAGAGCTCGCGGTCCTGCTTGTACCGGAAGAGGGCCTCGGTGTGTAGGGTTTAGGGTTTAGGATTTAGGGTTTCGGGTCTTGGATTTAGGGTTTAGGGTTCAGGGTTCAGGGTTTAGGGTTGAGGGTTTAGGGATTTGGGTCTGCTCACTCGACCTCGGCTTACCTGTATATCTGACCAGTGTCCAGCAGAATGCAGATGTCTTTCGAATTGTGGGGTTTAGCTTCGAGTTTACAGGTTTCGGGCTTGGGGTTGCACTAATTCACTGATGCAGGGCCGAGAGCAGGCGGCGCCATGTGACGAGCAAACCTTAAACCTCGAAATTGAAGTTAGGGTCTATAAAAAAATATATATATATATATTTTATATTTATTTATTTATTTGTTTATTTGTTTATTTATTTATTATATTTAATATAGATATTATTTATGTCGATATTATTAGTACTAATGAAGAAATGTACATGGCTTTTGGGTGCTTTGGGTCTACTCTCCTGCGGAGTGTCTTTATGTTTTGCTGGAAACGGTCTCCTGCATAAAAGAGACTTTAGGGAACCTCAATCACGGCAAAATAAGATGACATTAACTTTCATGCGCAGCGAGACTCGCAGAAAGCTCGGACGCCGTTCTCCTTCAGCGGCAGTGCCGGCTTGTTCTTGAGTGTGGGCTTTGGAACCGAAATTGAGATCTGGATAGAAGCAGCCTAAGGTGTAGGTCATCCACCACCCCCCACCCCCCCCCAACCCCCCCCCCCCCCCCACCCCCCCCCCCCCCTCCACCCCCCCCCCACCCCCCACCCCCCCCCCCCCCCCCACCCCCCACCCCCCCCCCCCCCCCCACCCCCCCCCCCCCCACCCCCCCCCCACCCCCCCCCCCCCACCCCCCCACCCCCCCCCCCCCACCCCCCCCCCCCCCCCCCCCACCCCCACCCCACCCCACCCCCCCGCACCCCCCCCCCCACCCTTGCTTTCATGCCTGACTCTCTCAGACCACACACACACACACCTTCAGTAGCCCTCAAGAGCCTCAAGGGTCGTTTGGGATTGGGGTCTAGAGGGTTCTTGAGGGTTGCGGTCTTGTGGCTGCATTTTCGGGATGAGCAGGCGGTTGTCATGGTGTCCGATGTCTCAACATAGACCTTGAAAAACCGTAAGCCCTAAACCCTAAACCATGTGAGCCCCTAAACCCCACGGTCATCCCGCAACCCACACGCCCCTACCACTCTCCAACTAACGATCCTTCTATTGAGGCCTTGAATTAGGGTTAAGTGTTTGGTGTTGAGGGAATGCTAAACCCCCTAAACCCTGAACCCTATAAACCCTAAGCTCTAAACTTTCCCGCTGAAAAACCGCTCGACGTTGGTCCTTGAGAACTCTCGCCGCCTGGGGGCCAGAGAGGCGCCGCAGCTGCCTGACATTTGACTCTGTAACTTCAGTTCAACGACGTGTTTTCTTAGGATAGCTATACATTGGTCCAGTAATATGGGCCCTTAAAAGGGGATCCCGAAAATACACCGCTCCCCCATACAACCCAAGGGCCCATACTTCAGAACCCTTCAAAGGAAGGGACAATATTAAGGCCACCCTTAGATATATGGGCAGTTCTCTATATTCGGGTCCGTCCCTTTCATGGTCCTTACTTTACGGGGGCCCTATACTATACAGGGGAATCCAACAAACTACCCCCCAGATGGGTTTTGGGTCTTGGGCGGGGTGGCCTGAGGGTGTTGAGGTGACTGTCATGCTTTATCGTCTTGATCAAAGGTCTGAGGCTTGAGCTGCTTAAACCCTAAACCCTAAACGTGGGGAAGTTGTCGGATGCGTCGGTCAGGAACTACGAGGGCAGTGGGTGTCAACCTTCTGTTCGGGGCTTTTAGTTGGGGTTGGGGTTCGGGTTCCCTTTTTACAGCAGGCCTCGGCTCACAGCAGCCCGGTTCCAGCATCACGCTCACTACTGCAGAGCGAGCATGGACGCTGAGATCTCTCTGGACACTAGTTGAAAGGTGACAATCTTACTATACTCTTTGAACACTAGGTAATGCTCTGCATGGTTCGGGTTCCCTAAACCCTAAACCCTAAGCCCTGTTTGTTGGGCCCAGACTCCTGAAGAAACCCCAAGCCCTAAACCTAGACCCTAAACCCTACACCCTAAACCCCAAACCCAAAAACCTCTATCCTGCTTCATCCAGGCGGCAGCAGCCGCCACATCTGCTCCAAGAGCCATTGCCCAGTCTCACGGACGAAGTCGTTGGCAAAGGAATGAACGTGCCCGCCTCAAAGATGTTTAAGGGTTAGGGTTTGGGGTTTGGGGTTTAGGGCATGGACGGTCTAGGGTATGCAGCCAACGCCCTAGCCCCAATCCTATCGGCCTTAAGTGCTGTACAGTTGTGCAGTTGCCAGCCCTCTCCAGCATCCTTTCAGACCCCTAAACCCCAGACTATGATGGCCCTTACAACCTTTGGAAAGATAGCGGACGAGACCGTGACAGCCAAATAAATTGTAGAAGCGGACGACCGTGACAGCAAAACAACAGTAGAAGCGACGAGACCGTGACAGCCAAAAAGCACAGTATTCCTGAATATGATCCTGGCGAATAGTCCTTAGGCGCAGACTCCCACAAACCCTAACCCCCACAAGCCACCCTAAACCCTAAACGCCTAAACCCTTTAAACCCTATAAACCCTTTAAACCCTATAAACCCTATAAACCCTATAAACCCTATAAACCCTATAAACCCGATAAACCCTATAAACCCTATAAACCCTATAAACCCGATAAACCCTATAAACCCTATAAACCTATGAACCCTATAAACCCTAAAACCTAAACCCTGACTGTCCCGGAGGCATCACTTCTGCAGCTGCGTCTCAGATGAGCGAGCGCATTGCTGGGATGACATGCTCGAACATCTCCTGGAGCTTGCTGAATTCCCTCTAGACTCAATCCTAAACCCTAAACCCTTATTAGGGTTTAGGGTTTAGGGATGTTTAGGGTCTTAGGGTCTTGGGGTTTAGTTGCTTAGTTTCAGGGCTTTATTGCTTAGCTTTTTGCTAGGTTTGAGGGTCTTAGGGTGTAATTCCTTGGCTTCAGGGTTTGCCGGGCTTAGGACGATGTAAGAAGATGGCGCCCAAACAGTCAGGCATGTGGGAGGCAAGGACACGGCCCCGGAAAATCTGGACGTGCAAGCACATCACGATGAAGATTCTGCAGCCCTAAGCCCTGAACCCTTGAACCCTTAACCCTAAACCCCAAACCCTGGCTCCTGTAACCCTAAGCCGTTTTGTGTAAACCCTCAGGAGCAAGAACCACTTCATCTTGGAGGAAGCATCGGGGCAAAACGTCGAGCCCTGAATCGAAATATGTACGTACCAGGATGTAAAAGCTTTTGGATCCTAGCGCTATCTCTGCAGAGCGGCAATGCACTTAAAGCGCTGGGGTACCTGGGGTTTCGGATTCCGTGTGCAAGGCTTCTTCGGTGGACTGTCTGCAAGGTGCCTCGAAATGCTTGGAATCCTTCTCCTCGCTGGGCATCAACTTCATCGTGGACCTGCAGGCCCTCAAACCACAAAACTTTCAACTCTCCAAGTTTTGGCGCAACCTTAGGTCCAGTTCTACTACGGCCAAATTTATTTAGGAAACGCACAACGAAGTGGCTGTAACTTCAGCAACTGGCCACGCCCTGCTGCGCACACACACACACACATACATAGCCTGGTACCAAGCCAACCTTTGGCAACCCTAAACCCTAAACCCCAAACCCTAAACCCCAAACCCTTGCGGAAGGTGCACGGCTCTTAAGGTGCACGCGTCATGTCAGCAGGGGTGCCCGAAATTCTCACTGGCATGGGTGGGTACAATGACCAGGAATAAGGTCATTCACAGGTTATGAGCCCAAGTTCACGCGACACTGCGCGTGTGGTGCTGGCCACGGCAAGGGTCCATCCTGTGGGGGTTGCTGGGAATAGGAGAGGTTGCCTGGACCAAAGCAAAAGGTGGCAGCTCTGTCCATGGGTGGCATTGCAGAGGTGGCCGGCAGGTTGACAGCGAGCGCCTAACGGAAAGGTTGGGTGGCGCACACCTTTCGGCCGCAGTTGGTGGGGGCTTTGGCTGTGCCAAAGGGGGGAGTGCGGAAGGTGCACGGCCCTTAAGGTGCACGCGTCATGTCAGCAGGGGTGCCCGAAGTGATGGGCATGCTCACTGGCATGGGTGGGCACAATGACCAGGAACAGGGTCATTCACAACCCTAAACCCTAAAGGGCCAGGCCCGAAGGATGCCAACTGATGTCACCACAAGACCCTCTAAAACCTGCAAGCCCTATGAGCCCTATATACCCTGTAGGTACACCCTGTTTTTGGGTTTAGGGTTTAGGGTTTAGGGTTCTCATGAACCTGCAAGCCCTATGAACCGTATGAACCCTACAAACCCTCTGCGCAATAGAAACCCTATAAACCCGATAAACATTCTTTTGAGCCCGGGCTCTCTGAGGTAACAAAAACCCAAGCCGAACCCCTAAACACAGCTGGGGGCCTTAATTCATGACCACGAGTCTTGGGCGTATCAGGGGCTGCCGTTAAGGAGCTCAAGTACAGTGACCAACTTCAGGCGCAAGGCAGGGCCTGCCACGAAAGCGGACCCCGAATAGGTAAAAGGCCAGCTCAGCATCGCATAAATGGGTTCAAGGCTCACAACTCAGTCCTAAACCCTAAGCCCTTCACCCTAAACCCTAAACCCTGAACCCTCACAATAGCATCGGTTTGGGGGGGGGGGGGGGGCCCAACATGCTCCGTGCCTGATGGCATCCGTGGTCATGTGCCTTAGGCGCGACAGCACCCAAATCACATTGTATCGGGTGTAGGGTTTATGGTTTGGGCTCCAGCTTTTAGGGTTCAGGGTTTGGGGGTGTAGAGGTTCTATGTAGACCCAAGAGCAACCTAGGAATGAAAAAGGGGTGCCCTTTCGGGTCAAAGGGGCTTATGAGGGAACCTAAACCCCAAGACCCTGGGCCCTAGTATTCATAGTGAAAAGCTGCCATGTATGCCTCGACTGTAGGGTTTAGGGTGCGGGGGGGCTCGGTACTCCTGTCCGCAGCAGCTACGTGAGCTCTACTGAATGATGCCGTTGGACCTTGGATATTATTACTCTGTCAGGTGCATATGGACCTTTTTTTAAGATTAAGATTATGGTCCCTTTTTGGGGTATCCTAAACATATTGGGGCTTTGGGGACCCTAATTTGGAGAATCCCCCATATGCATGTCTGGCACACAGAAATGTGCCAAAAACCAGAAGGGGACAGAAGGGGACACCCGGGGCAAGAGACCGTGACCTGGCGGAACTCTATCTTGAAATGATGTCGGGTTAACCCGAAGCTGAACCTCCCAGTGTCCAGCGAATTTTGGTTATCTGAAAGAACCTCTGACCGAGCTTGTCCTGAAACACTGCTACCGTAAAACCTAAACCCCACACCCCTGAACGGGCCTTGAAGGGGCGTATAGCTGCTTGAGGGGCCAAGTAAATACTCTCCGGAACCCTTACAGAACAAATAATTCAGGCCATTTAGAGATAATTAAGCCGAATTCAGGTCATTTAAGGGGGGGACTGGGGGGAGGGGGGCGGTAGCAGGGGAACCCATGATTCATCTCCGAGGTGCTTGGCAGATGACTCCGCGTACTTTGCCCAAGCTTCCGCGGCAAACACGCTGAGATCCGAACCTCAGTGGGCTTAGGGTTTTTAGGGGCTGCAGGGTAGAAGGCTTTCTTTGTGGTCGGGCGGGTTAAGGTTTTAGGGTTTCGGGTTTAGGGCTGCTGCCTGTTTAGAATTCGGGGCTTATCGTGATATCGAGAGTGGGGTTGGAGAATTCTCCCTCGTGCGTTTTTGCCTGCAAGCCTAGGGCCAGCGGTACCAATCCTATCAGCCGACCAGCCCTGCAAGCCCTGTGAGCTATAAGCCCCCTAAATTATAAATGGGGATACCGTTTAGGGCTTAGGGCGGAGAACCCTATACTGTGCAAGCCCTTGAAACCCTTAAACAACCCTGAGCCCTGAGCCCTGAGCTCCAATGTACATCGAAGTGCAAACCAGTGGCGCTCGAAGCTGATGTCCGGGAAGGCTGCACCGCTCAAGGTGCAAAGCTTTTTCATCATTTCCTGAGCTTCCCTCCAATACACCAAAATTAAGAATCATACTCATTCCTTCAAGTAGAACTGAGGGGATCTCGAAGCGATGTATGAAGAACCTTTTATTTTGTTAAGGCGAGTTTCTTGGTTTTTGGCCCAATCCCGGAAACTCCCTAAACCGCCTCACCTCTGCAAAATCCTCGCGCTTCCATGACCTGTTTCTGTCTAGCCCGCCCACTACGGGCCGATCTGCACAACCCGAAACCCGAAACCCGAAACTTCTGAGAAAGAGAACGAACTCACTGCTGGATGCCTGTGAATCTACAAGTAGAACCCGCAGAGCCCTCCATATGGTTGGTTCCGAAATTAAGGGGTACCTTTTTGGCGTCCTTATTGTAAAGGAATCCTGGTCTTTGGGGGTCTATACTTATTTGAGTAAACCCCCAGAAAACTCCCCCTAGGTTGGGAGGCGGTCTGGAGTTGAGTCTCTGGGACCGCCTTTGGGCGCAAGTCCGGGATGTGGCGACGGAACGCCTCGATGACTTCCTTCAGGAGGTTTAGGGTTTAGGGTTTAGGGTTTAGGGTTTAGGGTTTAGGGTTTAGGGTTTAGGGTTTAGGGTTTCGGGTTTATGGTTTAGGGTCCTTCAGGAGGTCGGAATCCGAGTCTTCACTGGTGTCCCGGAACTGATCCGCAACCTGCAGGGCTGGTCGATGGCTTTTCTCAGCATCCTCAAACCCGGAAGGCGATCAAATTCCTGAAGCCCGGACGGCTGCAGAACCCCGATCCCTTTGTAAACCCTGAACCCTAAACCCAGGCTCTAAACCCTAAACCCTGAGCCCTCAGCCCTAAACCCTAAACCCTAAACCCTAAACCCTAAACATTGGCTTCTCGTCGCGGCCTGCGTCATCCATGCCGCCTTGCTGGCTGCCTCGGCAGCCTCGAGATGCTGAAGGTGGGAGCGGACCGTGGACCGAAGTATGTCCTTTGCGAGGTTCGTGGTTGGGGTTTAGGGTTTAGGGTTTAGGGTTTAGGGTTTAGGGTTTAGGGTTTAGGGTTTAGGGTTTAGGGTTTAGGGTTTAGGGTTTAGGGTTTAGGGTTTAGGGTTTAGGGTTGAGGGTTGAGGGTTTAGGGTTGAGGGTTTAGGGTTTAGGGTTTAGGGTTTAGGGTTTAGGGTCTAGGGCTTAGGGTTTAGGGGTGAAGGGATCTGGGAGGGTGCAGGGTCTGCCTTGGCAGGGCAACTGGTCTGAAGGGCTCGTCCAGAGAGGCGGAAGGCAGATTGCTCTGTAGGGTTTAGGGTTTAGGGATACAAGTCTAATATACTTTGAGCTCCCTTAATATGAAACTACAGAAATTTTAAATTTTCAAATTTATAAAGTGATAAAGTTGTAGTAAAGTCCCACCTAGTAAGGCAGATTGAATAATTGTAGCGAGCAAATTCTGATGCAGCTGCGAGCCAGATGTTTTTGATACCACCTGCACCCGGACCTGTACAGTGCTGACGATGCTCGCTGAGCGTTCCGAGCATCGCCTTGTCGCACTGGTGCATGGGGATTCCGTGTCTTACAGTTCAGCTGCAAATGGCTCTGTTGCAGCTCGGGACACTGGGGTTTATGGCCTCGGTTCACATTCAGGCTCGACAGCATGATAAGTAGAGCCACTGGCAGCACCAGAAACCAAGCGGGATGCTGAACGATGCTGCTGGATGTTGTAACTGACCCCCTAAGCTCTACACTGTTACACCCGAATGGTTTGATATTGGCCTTCATGGTCATCCACCAGCATCGTCCACTACATCTAGATGTGCTTCCACCTACTTGGGAAGGTGCAAAATGGCAAAACACCACATTCGCGCCAGAGCTTGGGGGTTTTCCCTCTCCCGGGCATGCTTCCCGACTTCAACAGACCAGGGCTTTATTATCATGTCAACTGCCTACTTCTGCTCAGTAAACAACACCGGGATTGCTGCCCGAGTACTGTGCTGGGACTCGAAGGCATCCATGCTCAAAATTGGGAGTGCCGCCACAACCATACACTCTACACACCCGAAACCCTACAAACCCGAAACCATGACGGCTCAGAAAACCCCGAAAGCTTCAGATACAGGGCCTCTGGGGGCCGCCCTCACTGCGCCAGATTTGCAGGCTGGCCCAGATCTCCGTTCTCGCTGGTGCTGCTGACGTCCGGCACCTCGAATTCGAATTCGAAGGCCTCGGCCACGCGCCTCCCAAAGGCAGATGCCACCAGCGTCGGGAGCTCTTCCTGCAAGGCGAAACGGACGGGGGCCACGAGCTGCCCAGGCAGTTGGGCCAGCTGCTCGACGACGAAGCTACCGTACCTTCCGGTCGCCACGGAGACCAGGGACATCTCCCCCCGGCCTTGCAGCAGCGCCTGCACCAACTCAAACTGGCCCTGCTCATCCGAGTACGTCAGGGCGCGCTGCACGACGTGGCTGGCGGTCCGGTGGTTCGCCAGCTGCGCGATTTGGGGAAGGAGGGCACGGAGGATGCTCCCGCGCGCGGCGGGCGCGTGCTCGTAGAGGCGCTGGACGACGAAGTTGCCATACTGGTGCTTGCTCAGAGCCTTAGAGTTGCTGAGGTTCATGAGCGCCCAAGCAAGTGTGCACTTTCAGTTCTATAGGGCCCAAAACCCTAAACCCTAAACCCTATGCGGAGCTGCAACTGGTATTGTAGAAAGAAGTTAGTGTTGGAAGTTGGAAGGGTTAATAAACCCGGAAATCATTTTTATGGCTCAAGACTGGGCCATGTGCCTGGTAGTAAAAGGTGAGTGCCCTGTGGTTTGGGTTTGTTGTGTGGTTGATCCAGGGAAATCAAGGGATTCTGTTGGGGTTGACTTTTCGGTTTCTCGTCCCCCTTCGGGTTCCCCCCGTAGGTTATGAGCCCAAATTAGGTTCCCTGCGGTTTGTGTTTCGGCTTTAGGGTGGAAGCTTGAAGCCATGGCGACCAACTGGTTACGGACTGGGGTGGCATCATCAAGCTCCAATGTGGGCGACCAAGGTGATGGTGGTGTCAAAAGGTCTGCAACGGGTGAAAAAGTCGTTCCCAATGAGGAAGCTCTGGTTGATGTTGGTGGTATGCGTGGCGAAGAGAAGCCGGTGGTGGAAGGACTGGAAGACCAGATGGAAGCAGTTTTGCTGCGCCTTCTGAGCAAACATGGGCATCTTCTTCGAGCTGCGGAATCTGCTGAATCAACGGGAGCGCCAACAACAAGCTCCTCTACGTCAAAGATGGTGGAGCAAGGGTGCCAGACAGAACTGGTTGGGGATGTTATCCCTGTTTCCAAGCGAGCTCGCAACAAGGTGAGTTTCGCGGCTGAAAGTGGTGATCTGTTGACAGGTGAAGTGGAAGAAACTGCGCCTGTTGCTGCGACAAAAAGCAGTATCCTCGTTGTTGGGGACGCAGAAGGAGTCGTTCCTGTTGCTATGGTGATGAGCGAGGGAGAAATCCTGGAATTGGAGGCAGCAAGAATACAGCAAGAGTCAGACGAGGACTTATACGCTGGTGGTGGAGGCAAAGCGTCTCAGGCTGCTGACCTTCCAATCGTCGACTGCGATGGGAAGACATGGGAACGCCATTTTCACGAGGATGGGAGAGAATATTTTTACTGCTTGGACACTGGTGATACCCGATGGGTGTTGCCTAAGAAGACTGGAATGGCTGGAAATAGCGAGGGGCCAGGTGTTGGAATGGGCATTGTCCCTGTGGAAGATGAGCCAACGCTGGGTGCTACCTCGTCTCCATCATCTACTGAGTCTTCTAGGGCACAGCAGGGTAGCATGGAAAGTGTGAACAGCGGTGTAAATAGTGTAAGTGAAAAGGATTTTTCCTCTACTATCGGGGATAGCGGTCCTAGGGGTGGTGGTGACGCCCCGACCTCGGGTTCTCCTGATGAAGAGGGGATTTCTGGAAACCGAGCAGACATCGCTGAAGCTCAACACCTGGATCGGGAAGAAATGGGGATGCTTTCTGAGGGTGTGGCAGCGGTGGAATCGATGGGTCCAGAAGAAAAAATGCCCAATGTGGAGATCGGAATTGTGTCGGCTACAGAAGAGCGAGTGGTGGATGTGGTGCCTGTCGTTCAGGAAGATGGCCCTGGAGATTTGGATGACGAAGAGAAAAAGTTGTGCATTACGACTGAGGAGGTCTCTTCGTTTGGTGCCGAGAAATCTGCCATTCAAAGGGAAAAGGAAACTTCTGAAACTGCTGGAGACACGGTTGATAAGAAAGATGAGGCCTGGAGCGCCAATGAAGCGCGGGTCGATGCGCCAGATAGTACCTGGAGTGCGAATGAGGCACGGGTTGAGGTGCATATGGTGGTACGTTCCACGGGCGACTGCAACAATGGGGCGCAGGTCTCCGCAGCAGCTGATGATGGAGGTTCACAGGTGGACGCACTGGTGCAACCTGAAGTTAGCCGCGAGGAACGAAATGACAAGGACTACACCGGAGCCAATGAGGCAGCTGTGGTCAATGATGGTGGCAATTCTCCTTTGGAAACCATGGAACCAAAGGAGCCTGCGGTGGAAGAAAGTGTGCCTGCCGTGGATGATCAACTCAATCGCCCTGCAGCGGAAGAAAATTTGCCTGCTGCAGAAGGTGTGACAAAGGACACCAATGAAGGGTCCACTCCCATGAAGGGAGAAGCGTTGCCGTCTGGAAGTTCACCGGAAGTCGACACCGAGCGAACTGAAGCAGATGAGGCAAAGCCTTTGGCAGAGAAAAAGGGAAGTCCTGAAATCCAAGAGCACAAAAAAGATGAGCTTGTGGGACTCGTGGAACAGGACGAGCAGTGTGACCCAAAGGTGAAGACAAAGGATGCGCCAGGAGCCGATGATACAGAGATGGTTTCTGAAGAGCATGCAAAGAAAGTGCCCCGAGCGGGAGCCTTGGAATCACCTGGGACACATTGCTATGAAGAGGGAGATAAGATCACTGGTTTAGTGCGCTGCATCAATGGGTATGGAGCTTTTTTGGACTATGGTGATCTAAATGTATTGATTCCTGCAGAAGGGAACAATGTACATCAGTTCCAATTTGGTGATACTGTCAATGGAACAGTGAAACGAGTGGAAGATGATGGTACCATAATCTTGGACACCTTTCTGGTTTTGGAAGAGGACGAGGAGGATTCCTCTTCAAAGCTGCGCAAATGGAAGGACAGCAGCTGGGGTACATGGTGGACAGGCTCATGGCAGACTGGTCAATGGTACAAAGGTTCTGATGGTCAATGGGACTGGAAGTCAGAGGAACCGCAGTCTCGTGAGTGGTTCGCCGAGTCAAAGGCATCCTCGAGGGAACAAGAGGAGGCGGAGCAGAAACAGCTCTATGGAGAGAAGATCTGTCGAAATCTCCTGGAAGATGAAACAATTGATAAGGACTATGTGGGCAAAATCACTGGGATGTTGCTGAGTCGTTCAATGGACGTGATTGTGGAGTGTATTGCAGATCATGCATTCCTGAATAATGAGGCTCGGAGTGCATACAACATCTTGCTAAGTGATGGTTGGAAGCCTGAGGAGAAAGAACGTGTCGGTGTGGAAGAAACAACCACTTTTTCTCGGAAGCAGTACCACGACGCGCTCTACGAACTGGCACGCAAGAAAAGAAGATTTAGTGGACCAGTTGTGGGTGAAGCGGTGGCAATGTTGCTGAGCAAGGGAAAAGATGAGCTTTGGAACGAGCTGTGGTTGGACACCAAGCGATTTCTGCAAGAGCTTGACGGTGCAGTCGAGGAGATGAGCAAGAGGGAAAACAGGCCGATAGAGACCTATATGGATCCCGATCAGTACAAAAAGGCTCACACGACTCCGAAAACTGTGTCACTTGGATACAGTAAGCTGTGCAGGTTCTTCAATCAAGGGAGGTGTCGAAATGGAGATGGGTGTTCCTATGAACATCGTCGCTACGGTGAAGGGTGGCCTGAAGGAGAGCCAACTGAGCCAAAGAACAGCCAAAAAACTGGTGACGAGGATGGGGACATCGGTGGCCCTCCAACTGATGAAGGTACAGTGGATGAGGTGCAGCAGGAGCGGGAGGATTCGGCCTTCCGAGCCCAGTACAACTATGGCAAAGGGACATCAAAAGGTGAGCCTACGCTGGGTGAAACGAAGAAACGGCTGTGTCTGTATTACAACCAAAGTGGTTGTAAATATGGGACTGCGTGCAAGTTTCTCCACGACGATGACGTGGCATTGGAAGGGACTTGGGAGCCTGGCAAATCTTGGGACAATGCTTCCAGAAGGGCAATAAGGGACGCGGGGTTCCACCAGTGCTGTTTCGACTACTATCTCAAAGGGAGATGTCGTGTGCGATTTGGCTGCAAGTATTCTCACGAAGAGATGTCTGAGGACCGGCTGGCCCAGTTGAAGCATTTGGTGAATGTGGCAAACCATGTGTCCTTTCAAAGAGCAAAGGGATTGGAGATTCCTGATAGGAACGCTTTTCAACCACCAGTAAGTGGGGGAGCAGAATCTTCGTCCTCCTCAGCACCAAAAGCGCTGCAGATGACCAATGTGTCACAAAAAGATGGTGAAAAGGGTATTCTGGATGAAGAAGAGGCTGACGAACAAAAGAATTCGGTGGCTGCGTCTACTAGCACTCAGCTTCACAATCCAGAGGAGCCAATTGAAAATTGGATGGCTCGCAACCAACACCTGTGGGTGTATACCCCTCATGTAAGTGAGGTGATGATTACCCTCGGTGTGACCAATGTGTCGGACTTGCAAGAGTTCATCTTTGTGGAAGATTTGGTTGACAAAGGGATCAACAAGGTGACCGCATGCAAAATTCTGCAATTGGTGGGTGAGGTCCGATATCGACCGGGAGGACCGGAAAAGGCAGTTCCTTCTGATGCATCTGTACGAGTACAACAATCTTCTGGGAACAAAGGGACTGGAAGAGCGGCGGTGCGAACCCTCACTCAGGGGCGTGAAGCGGAAGACTCCGGTGCAAAAACGATGCCGAGAGGCTCCTATCGGGAGCTTTTTGATAAGGTCAAGTACCGTGACGCTTGGACGCTGGCGCAGAGGTCTCCGCTGTGTGTACAGAAGCTGAAGTTGGTGGGAGTTGGAATGCCACCGGTGAATCCACCAACAAAAAAATATCGGTCAAGATCAAACCCTGTGAAAAGGGGAAGGCCCTTGCTGGACAAAAAACAGGTGCGACAGGTGCCACGCTCTCGCTCACAGCGACGAGCGCAACCGGCGGAAGTGGTGGAGAAACCAAAACCACTGGAACTGAAGCCTCGTGGTGGGTTGTCGTATCGGTTCAGCAGAGCGTGGGCAGATGTGGTGGACGATGATGATCAGGCGGAGGCTTTGGTTTCTTATGCCGCTTCCTCAAGCGATTCAAGCGAGGAAGAGACCAATGCTGTGCACCGCATGCGGGAAATTCTTTTGCAAGAAAGGGATTCACAGAGAACTGCGATTCGTGGCAATGTTCCGATGGGTGGTTCTTCCGGCCCCAATGCCGGGCAGAAAAAATCGGTTCACCTTGGCAAAGAACGCGACAAAGCGTCGCGGGGGGAGACCCGCCAAGAAGTGACTTCTCAAGTTTTTTCGCTACCACAACCTTCTCGTCGAACTGAACAGTCTCAAAAAAGAGCAAGGGATGGCTCAGTTATGGTTGGTTCGCTGGCGGTGGGCTCCACGGATGAGGTTTTACCTGGGCAAGGTGTTGCTGGACAGGTGAATGGATCTGAAAGCGCTCAAGTTCTTCCTGGGCATGAAGTGGCTGGACAGGAGACGGCGCTGGAAGGAGCAGTGCAAATTCCCGGCGAGGAGACTGACCAAAATGAAGGAGAAGGTGGGAGCAATGATCTCCGTGGTGATGATGCGAAGAATTTGGACGGTGGTTTGGTGAGGAGTGACCTTCAGCAATTGCTGGTTAAAGGCCTTCTGAATCGGATTTATTGGAAGGTGGCAGTTGGCAAGTTGCCGGTCGGGCAAAGAGACTGCCAAAAAGGGTCCAATAAGATGGATCGAAATTTGGTTATTAGCATGTCATCCGAGGGTGCAAGCGAACAGGATGAGAACCTGGCACTGGAGGACGATGCTGATCAGTCAATGGGTGACGGTGCGATGGTAGTTCTGGTGTATGATCCAAGGACGCTGATTCAGTCGCCAACAACTGATTGGGTTATGCGTCGTGGTCTGACCGATCGTTCCATCTGGCCAGCAATGGCGTACACAGCACAGAGAATATGTGCTGAAATGGTTCAAGTGGATGAACTGAACGCCCAGTTGAATACTGGGAGACTCCTTTTTGAAAAAAAGATCAAGGATATTATTGTGATTTGCATCATTCGTTCCATGACAATCCGTGCTTGCCGGTGGTGGGAAATTATCCTCTTTCGGTGATGGGTGCACTGCTTTCCCCTGGCCTGGAAAAGGAATTCAGGGATACTGGAAAGTTTGGAACTGCTATGGAGGCAATAGCCTATGATTGGAGTCGCAGTCCAGGCATGGAAGTTCATGTGGAACTTATGGCAAGGGTAGCCAATCTGGTCGCTCCATTCCTTAAACTTGGTGGCCAAGGAACAGTGGTGAATTCTGAGTTTCTCTGGCAGCACGGGAGGGACCAAATGATGGAGTTCCTCCAGGCAGTGACTTGCGCTGATCAATTGGAAGTTCTCTGGAGAAGAATGGACGACGATGCTGATGAAGAAGTGGACCCTACAGGAATGGTGCTGGAGATTCCCGATCAACAAGATGCGGTACTAGATCAAGGGAACAATGAATCCCTTATTCCCATTGAAGATGTTGGAGGTGAGACACTTGGTGACACTGGAAGGGATGGCAAAGCGCCAGAAGTCTCTCCAGAAGAGGAGACATCCAGTGGGTCGTCAAGACTGGCGGGCACAAGGATTTTCTTGTGGTCAGTGTACTCTCGTGTTGCTTCCAACTTCTCTACGCAGGACCGCACTACTGGGAAGATCTTTGACAGCACAAAAGGTTATCCTGGTGAAGGACCAAACAATGGTGACAATCCTTCCTCTAAGAGGAACTTACCCTGGATTTCTGAAGACTACCTCGACGAAGTGGTGTCAAAAAAGATGGAAAGGTCTTCAGATATGGATGGGCTGGAGGGGTCTGTTCCGGGAGGTGAGGGATCGTTGGAAAAGGTAGAGGTGGAGAACGTTACTGCCTCTAAAATTCTTATGGCTCTTTGGAAAAAGGGATCTAGAGCTGGGTATAGGAGGTTGTGTCGTTTGAACGTATCTGGATGCAAGGTTGGAACAATGAAACGTCCAATCAACAGGGTGCAGAAGATCGGCACTAGGAAAGCCCTCATGAAGAAGTTCAATGTTTTTGGATCGTCTCAGCATGGCTCAGGAGTTGGCGGGAAACCAATCATGAAGGTGGTAGGACCAAGGCCAGGGTTTCCAGCTGTACTCCAAGCACCAACTACTGATAGCACGTCGGGTGAAGGGAGCAGTCCCCAGGTACATGGCAATGTTCATGTAGAGCACAATCGCCCTATGGACCGGTATGAGGCAGAGCGCTTGGAGAAGAGGAAGAAAGGCTTCTGCTATTGGTTCAGCAAAGGGAAAGATCGCTGCAAATTCGGTGAAGACTGTAAATTCATCCATTCAGAAGATGATGTGGTGCTACATTCATATTGGTGCAAATACTATGTGGCAGGGAGAGACTGTTTCGCTGGAAAGGATTGTGCGTTCTCGCATGATGCAACTGGTGTGAGGTGCATCCAGTTTGCTCGGTCTGGGAAGTGTCGTTATGGTGACAGGTGTGTCTTCGAGCATGGTGTTCCGCTGGATGAACAGAGGCCAAGGTCTCCAAGGACGCCCCCAAGGGATGGTCCAAGGAGAAGTTCTGGTGCAAATGGTGGAGAAAAGGAGATCTCTCCTGAACAGTTCGATGATGGTGAGGAGTATTCCATGACCTATGACGATGACACCAAAATGTCGGAGCTGTTGATGGAAGCGATTTCAATTCTTTCGAATGGTAAACCAGACTTGGCTCGAGCAGAAGCGGACCCACTGTTCAAACTCCTGAAGTTCAAGGGAGACGCTGACCAGATGGATAGAGAATGGGTTTCGTGGACCGAGGAGATGTTGTCCGTGCTGGAACTTCACGAAGTAGTGAAGTCGTATGACGTTTCGCTCGAGGAGGTGGAAGAATGGGTCAATGACCTGAGGATATGGTTCGAGCGAGCCAACTTGGAAGAAGAAAAAGATCCCAAAAGGGGCAAGAAGAGGTCCCTGGAAAGGGAGTCCAGCAAAGATATTCCTGCCGAGAAGGAGGTGGTTGAGACTTCTGAGACGGAAGTTATCGTTGAGGAGGAGGCAAAAAAGGTTAAAAAGAAGAGGAAACCTGTGGTTATCGAAGATCCTTATACCCTCCTGGTTCCAAAGCCGAAGAAGATGCCGGCGACCATTGAGAAGAGTGGATCATCAACCAATGCGGCGGTTTCTGCAGGGGAAAAAGCCTCGAGAATGCGCGCAAAGTCAATCGTCGGTGGAAAGGCGAAGAAGAAGGAGAAAAGTCAGAGTCCCAAAAAGGGAGAAGTGGTGGTGGTGAAAGGTCCTGAAGAAAAGGATCGTCCTCCTGATGTGGATGAGCAAGCGTCGGCAGCTGTGAGTGCAGAGCTGGGTCAACCTTGCCAAGCGATTGAGGACGCGAAAAGAGAAGGACTGGTATCCTCGATTCAAAGGGGCGTACAGGATCCTGTTCTTACAGTTTCAGACCTGGCGTATATTCTGCTGCAACTTCACCTCAAGATTGCCAACAATCGGAAAAAGAAGTGATTGGATGGTATGGATGAAGGGATGGTTTTTCTCTTTCTGGAGACAGGTGCGCTGGAACAGCCAATGTGCTGACAAATGTGGTGGTTACTATTAAGGGTATGGAAATCCCTGATAGTAGAAGTCAGTAGCTTTTCGCGTAGCGAAGACCACGGTTTGTGGTGAAGAAGGCCAAGGAGTCTTCAGTGATGAGAGGATCATGGTGAAAAGATTCTCTATGGTTAGTGGATTTGGCCAATGAGCTATAATTTCGTCCTGGTAGACGTTAAACCATATTGTGCATGTCAAGCAGCAGGCTACTGCCCTAATGGCAGTTTTGGCCAAAGAATCTGCACCTCCAATGTGTCCTAGGAAATCCTAGGACAGGGGGAGTGCGGAGCTGCAACTGGTATTGTAGAAAGAAGTTAGTGTTGGAAGTTGGAAGGGTTAATAAACCCGGAAATCATTTTTATGGCTCAAGACTGGGCCATGTGCCTGGTAGTAAAAGGTGAGTGCCCTGTGGTTTGGGTTTGTTGTGTGGTTGATCCAGGGAAATCAAGGGATTCTGTTGGGGTTGACTTTTCGGTTTCTCGTCCCCCTTCGGGTTCCCCCCGTACCCTAAACCCTAAACCCTAAACCCAGAAGCCTCGGTCTTGGGCACAATCGCCGCGATCAACAGCCTCTGATCCGCCTCGGAGATGTGCTCGATGAGCCGCTCCTGGGTAGCCCAAGAACCATCTTATGGAAGGGTTTAGGGTTTAGGGTTTAGGGTTTAGGGTTTAGGGTTTAGGGTTTTCTGCTTTAGGGTTTAGGGGTTAGGGTAACCATCTTACAATAAACGGCACCCTTTTTGGGGGTTGGGTGCTTGAATTACATGGGAACCCTAACCTTAAACCCTAAACCCTAAACCCTAAACCCTAAACCCTAAACCCTAGAAACCCTAGAAAGGGTAAAAGGGTAGCACTTGGCAACCAAGGCTCCATCAGGCGGCAGCCGAACTTGTGCTTCGACACTTCGTCGAAACCTCGCTCCTGGAGTTTCTCCTTGCTAGCCCGGGACAAAACGAGAATAAGGTTTAGGGTTTAGGGTTTAGGGTTTAGGGTTTAGGGTTTAGGGTTTAGGGTTTAGGGTTTAGGGTTTAGGGTTTAGGGGAACCATCTTGTGATGAGGGTACCCTTTGTGGGTTGGTTACTTTATAAGGGAGAACCCAAAACCAAAGGGTACCACTGGGCTACTCTAAGTCTCCACAATCCCCGACAGCCGCTTGGAGGGGAGAACCTCCACCGCCTTGGACAGGGAGTAGTTCCCATGGGGTGACTCGTAGAGCTCCACGGCTCCTGGGTAGCCCAGAAACCATGTTACAATAAGGGCTTAGCCTCTTTTTTTGGGTTGGGGATTTATATAAGGGAACCTTGAACCAAACAAAAAAAAAGGAAAAAGGGTACCACTGGGTATTTATATAAGGGAACCTTGAACCAAAAAAAAAAGGAAAAGGGTACCACTGGGCTACCAAGGCGCTAGAGGTCAGCTGCAAGAGTAGCCGGCCGCGGAATGCCGCATCGGCGACTTCCAGAGCACGCTGCACAATCTCGGTGCCGAACTTCGAAGATACCTTGGTTGCTCTCTAAACCCCCCCCAACAAAAGTTTAACTTTTGGCTCCCTTAATATGAAATTATAGAGGAACCCCAAAAGAATAGAGTGATAAAGTTGTAGTAAAGTCCCACCTAGATACTGCCAAGGCGAAGGTAGCGTCCGCCATCCATGCCAGCGTCTCCTGCCTCGTCTCCGGCGCATCGAGCTTCGCCATGATGGCAGCCTTTCCTTCCTCAGTTTCCACCTCCCGCAACACGGCCGCGATGTCTTCTGAGTCAGCCTGGGCCACATCCGGCTGCGAACGTGCGGCCTGCAGACCCACCATGGCCGGGGCGCTGGTCCCCGAGGTCGGGGTGGAGGAGCCCTGGTTGGCCATCTCCCTGCGCCGGCGGCCACCGCGGCGCCGGGGCCGACGGCCCTCGTTCTCTGCTGGCCCCTGTGCATCCTCGTAGCCGGCGTGTCCCGCAGTCCACCCAGGCGCACCTCGACCCTGGCCTGCGTGCTCGTAGGTGCATGCCTCATATGATTGGGAATACCAGCCAGCGCTGACCCAGCTGCCGTCCTCGCAGTAGCTCTCTCCGCCTGCGGTTGGGGTTCTCATGTCTGGCACTGCCATGAGCGGCATGTGGCCGCGCACGACGTAGGTGACAGCCGCGAGTTGCTCCATGGGCAAACGGTTGCCTTTGTACTGTGTATTCCCAAGTCCTTCCCTAAGGGTGTGTCCTCTCGAGCCACACATACATGTATATATATATATATAGATAGATGTCGAGGACATTAATTCTTCAGCTTCAAGATCTTGGTTAACTCTTCAGCTTCAAGGTCTTGGTCCCTGTTCAGCAACCTTGGAAGAAGTGGTTTCAAAGGATTACACTCAGATGGAGAAGAAACGAGCGGACGAGATGCCTCTGCGCTGTGCACCACCCTTGACTATCAAAAAATGAAACTTGCATGGAGTGATGCTGTCAAAATTCGAAGCGGGTTTAAACTTCGTTGATCAGCTTTTGCTTGGCGACGATCGTTTGACTTCATTGTTCTTGGCATGAATGTCCATTTGCGTTGCAGTCACTTGACGGCTAAACCGTAAACCCTAAACCCTAAACCCTAAACCCTAAACCCTAAACCCTAAACCCTAAACCCTGAACCCCGGCTCTCATTGATGATCAGTACTTGGGTCTGTAGAGGTGACCGGCGTCAATCGCTGCATGAGCTCCTGCTTACCGTAAAGCCTAAACCCTACCGGAAGCCCTAAACTTGGCTGCACTTAGGAGGGTAGCAAAAACTTAAACTTTGAGCTGCCTTGTTAAGAAACCCAATAAGCCCAAAAAGGCTAAAGATGTAAAGTTACAGTAAAGCACCACAAAGTAAACTGGCACTTATCCCTGCCTGTAACCACAAGTACCTACAGTCTTCTGGGTTAAACCTATGAATTGCGGGGTAACTACTACTAAACTGTAGCTATTTTGGGGGTACAGGTAAACTGAGAAAAGATGCTTCACATGTCCAGCTTCTCTGCGCACGGCAAGCTCGGCTTCCTGGTCTTCTTCGTCCTCCTGCTCCCGGTGGGTGATGGTACCTTGGTTGCTCTTTAACCCCCAACAAAAGTGTAACTTTTTATCTCTCTTAATGTGAAATTAGAGGAAACCCAAAACTTATAAAGTGACAAAAACCCTATAAACCCTAAAACCCTCAACCCTAAACCCTATAAACCCTATACACCCTAAACCCTCAACCCTAAAGTCCCACCTAGGTACGTCCAGCCTCCGAACCTTCCGGCTCACCCCGCCACGGTGGCTCGGACTTTGTGGCACGACGATCCTGTGGACCTGCAGAGCGCAAGGGTTTTAGGGTTTAGGGTGTAGGGGTTAGGGTTTAGGGTTTAGGGTTGTGCCATGTTGCAGACGGTTTGGTGTGTGGGTTTCCGGATTCGCTCAGCCGCACCAGAGTACCTTCTTCCCAATGCACTGGACGTCCTGAGCTGTACACTCCCCTTGTTCCGCACTCCTTAACCCTAAGCCCTGAACCCCAAAACCGAAACCCTGGCCGGCCTTCTTGATAGTGGACAAAGGTGGCCCGGACTTGGACAGGAAGATCCCCGATGCCATCTTCTTGTCCCTCTTCCTCTTGGCTGGAAGCATCTACTGGTGCCTCGCCTGCCCAGACACACACACACACACACACACACACACCCGCGCGCGCACCCTAAACCCTAAACCCGAAACCCTAAAGCCCCATGAACCCTAAAGCCCTAAGAGGTCCTAAACTATGCTCTGTGCTGCTTATAGAAACCCTAAAGCCCCATGAACCCTAAAGCCCTAAGAGGTCCTAAACTATGCTCTGTGCTGCTTATAGTCCTGCTGCGCCAGCTCGTCGATCCCGATTCGTTAGAACTTTGAATTACCTGGAGTCATTTGCCTGGGACTCACGTTACCTACAGTTTGGTAGTAAACTAACCCGATATTGAGTAGGTAGAACCCATTCAGCTGTAGGTAAAGAGAGGGCGTCCCAGGTATCAGGAAACCGAACCGTAAACCAACAAAACGAGACTAGGCTTGGGATGTTCCTAGTAGGGATTAGAGGAAGCCCGATTATATTCCCTACTCAGGACTGCTAGTATCAGGGGGAACATACCCTAAACCCGAAACCCTAAACCCTAAAACAAAAAGAACACAAATACTAGAAGCCCTGTGCCAGCCTGCAGCTGCTTCCTCTTCTGCCTCCCCCTCTTCCGACCCTGCAGAGCCGGGTATTTGCTGTTTATGGCTGCTAAAGGGTTAGGGTTTACTGTAGGCTGTAGGTTTTTTGTTTTTTAGGGTTTAGGGTTTAGGGTTTACGGTTTAGGCTTTAGGGCTTTGCTTGAGCTAAGGGGGCTAGCGTGAGGGGGCTTCCTGGGGTTTGTGTAAAGGTACTTGGGGAGTGCATGAGTTCAGGGAAGAAACGAATGTCCAGCTGGCCTCTTTCTATACAGTACGAGACGACACTGATTCCGAAATATTCCGAGGTAAAGGGTTTAGGGTTTAGGGTTTAGGGTTTAGGGTTTAGGGTTTAGGGTTTAGGGTTTAGGGTACGAAACAAGCATTCTAAGGCCAGGGCCTGAGACTGAATCCCCCTGAGGATTGGCTGCCACGTGAGCACGCCGTCGTCTTCGTCGCCGCGCCTCACGTTCTTTGCTTTTAGGGTTTAGGGTTTAGGGTTTAGGGTTTAGGGTTTAGGGTTTAGGGTTTAGGGTTTAGGGTTTAGGGTTTAGGGTTTAGGGTTTCGGGGTTTCGGGCGTTTTGGGTTTAGGGCTAGGGTTTACGGTTTAGGGCTTAGGGGTTTCGCTGAAAGCTCTTGGGGCGACAACTTCAATTTGGGTGTGGTTCTCTAGGCTAGCGAAGTACTCTTGCAAGGAGGCGGAGGGTGACAGAAAGCCCCTATTTGCTTAAGAACCCCAAAAGAATTGAGAAAAAAAAACTATATTTCCCGTGACAAGGAAGAATACGTTTTGTTCTTTAAGACCAGCTTTTGGGGTTCTCAAGCAATTAGTAGAAATCTAGCTCACAATTTGTTAACCCTAAGCGGTCTACTCACTATTGAGACCCTCGAAGCACCCTTCGAAAAAAACCCAGCGTGTGGGCCTCCAAAAAAAATCTGCCACTAGGTCGGTTGCAAACGGCCCTCACGTTAAGACTTCCAAAACACGAGATCCGTTCAAGCCTGTCGTGCACCGCGTAGTGTCCACTGTGGCGGCTCTTGCGCCAGCTGCTGCAAAGAGCCTGAACTGAAGCTGGACTTGGGGTTACCGAGGGCTGGTGCTTTTCACTACACTGCACTGATCGTCATACCTCAGGGGCTGTAGGAACCCGGAACGAAAAAGTAGTAGTGGGGGTACGTGACCCAAATGGGGCATTTCCCAAAATGGGGGTACCCCCTTTTATACCCCAAATAGACTAGAATCCCCTTAAAAGGAACCCCAAAACAAGGGTCCCCTATTTTCGGAAACCACCATCTGGTAAGGCCCATGAAATGCCAAGGGCGAGTCAAGGTTTGTTGGTTTGTTGGTGAGCTCGGGTGTGCAGGTGGGGCCCTGGTTCTCAGTAGGGATCAAGGTGGGTTTAGGGTGTAGGGTTTAGGGTTTAGGGTTTAGGGTTTAGACAAGGATCTTCTCCACGACACACTACACTAAGGACCCAGCGCCAACGTCTGAGGCGCAAAACTGACACATCCAAGATACAACAGATCCGGACCGCTTGGCAGGACCCCGAAGAGTAGGGAATGGGCGAATGAGGTACCCTACGTCATCCCTTTCAAAGGGTGTATATAGGGGTAATGATACTAAGGGTACCTCATTCCCTCATTCCTTGGTTGCAAGACTGCCAGAAGCTGATCTCTGCCTAAACCCTAAACCCTAAACCCTAAACCCTAAACCCTCAACCCCTATCTTCACTTCTGATCCGAGCTCGGCCGACCTCAGACCTCCCAGGTATTTGAAGTGGAACTGTGTTGTTGAACTCGGTAGCCCAGTTACCATGCTATCGTAGGGGCTTCGGGTTTAGGGTTAAGGGTTTAGGGTTTAGGGTAGCTATAATTTTGAAGTGGAACTGGGCTTTTCGAATCAACGTGCCCGCACCAAAGATGTTTAGGGCTTAGGGGTCAGGTTTTGGGCTACCTTGGTAGCCCAGTCACCATCTTATAGTAATAACCCTTTTTTTTCGGTTGGGTACTTTGTAAGGGAGCCCAGAACCCAAGAATAAATTGGGTAAAGGGTACCACTGGGCTACCAAGTAAAAGCCCAGCATAAACTACTACTTGCTTAAGAACCCCGAAAAAATTAAAAACACATTTTTCATTAAGGGCACTATAGAGATTCTTACTTTTTACTCTTTTGGGGTTCTTAAGCAAATAGTAGTAAACAGCACATGAAGGACCACGAGGGGTGATGGTTTGCGGGCGGCGCGTCGGGCACCGCAAGGCTCCCCGCATGAGCCGCCGAAATAGGGTTCAGGGTTTAGGGTTTAGGGATGTTCATGAAGGCCGGGGCACGAAGCACAGAGAATTTCAGGCAGCTCGTGCGGTCTTGATCTCCTCAGTTTCTGCCAAGGACAAGGGACGCCACATGCTGAGGCATCCCCAGCTTAGGGTTTAGGGTTTAGGGTTTAGGGTTTAGGGTTTAGGGCTTAGGGTTTAGGGCCCTGTAAGAAGGCCCTGTCAAGAACTCGCAGGCCGCGAGATGCTCCAAGATGCGGCGAACAGGCCATCGATGAGATAATATGGGGGGGGTTTCCGAAATTTGGGGGTTTAGGGTTTAGGGTTTAGGGTTTAGGGTTTAGGGTTTGTACCTCATTGGGGTCATGTTGCTTCAGCATGGCATCTAGTGCATTGCAGTTGATGCTCTAACACAACATGCCACATGCCCGTCATGTCAGCACACACACACACACACACACCAACCCAAGCCCCCTATAGGCTAGCCCACCGACATGCCGAAATTGGAAGCGCCAGATCATGCCACCTTCCTCCCCCAAAAGGTAACTGGGCTTTAGGAGTTTACTGAGGTTCACAGGTCTGCCAACAATCCCCCTTCTGTCACCCTTTTGACAGGGGACTTGGAGTCGCAGGCTGACAAAAGTAGTGCAGCATGCAGGGCGCCCACCCACCCCCCCCCACCACTCTCCCCCCCCCCCACCCTCCCCCGTGTCCCCGGGCTTTTGAATAGGGGTGAGGTGGACAAGAACATTCGGCACACTCTTGCGTGGGGCGGGAGTTACCCTCCGGAAGCTCTGGGCATACGTAGCGAAGAAAAAGCCCTGCTTACGTGCATTGAGCGAACGTGTCTCGTGGAGAAGGTCCACCTGCTACCTATACTCCCCTTAGAACCTTAATAAACATGTTATTTTTAATTAATATCCTC